TGTACGCCAGCCACATCGAAACGGAAGTTGAGGATTGCGTTGGCGTCGGCCATGCTGGCAAGGTCGAATCGTACGTTGGGGATAATGGGTCGTTCAACAATGTGTGAGGCCATTATGGCCATCACAGTACGGCGCTGTCGGTCAGTCCTCGCGAGCCGAAGGATGGCCACGAGTTCTTGTTGCGAGAGCACCATCAAATGAATGTGGATAAAATCCGCATAAATGTCTTATCCGGTTTAGTGTACAGGTACTTTGCAAAATCAAAAATATTGCATATTTCTACACGTCGTGGTCGCGCCGCTTTTGACACAGTCAAGTGTAGGCGTAGTCCCCGGATGACGTGCAAAATCTCTCTATTCTACCGCGATACTAATAAGAAGCCACAACCCATTGCAGCTAAAATGATAGCGTTATGGTTGTTAACTTTTGTCGTCGACTTCGGTGGTCATGTCCACTACTGTTTCTATCACGCGAGGCAATTGCAAACTCATCGTCTACACACAACGTCACAGGTCATAACAAACACATCGACCATTGATCTATATCGTACCGTGATAGCTGACAGCGCAGATCGAACCAGCCGTCGCAACTCCAACGCTTGCTTGTATTTGTCTGCTGCATTGCTCGTCACCTGAACCGGCGACAGTCCTCCCATCGAAGCAGACGCAAGCCGCGCCATCAGCGATTTCCGTCGGGGGGGCGGTGTTATTGCGGTGAACGAGGACGACATGCCCAAGCCCGATACCATCGACGTCTCGAGAGGAATGCTGAGAACCACTGGGTTGGGCCGCATGCGGTTGAGCTTGTACAGATGGGTCATCATTTCGTCCACGACTGCCACGATGGAGCGCGCGGAGGACAAGAGGTCGCATGCAGGACGAGAGAGCACCGGCGCTACCTTCACTTGCGGGACTGAAGTGACCTTGACGTCGGGGTCTGGTGGATGAACGGCTCCTGCTGCTAGCACCTTGGCCACGCCTTGTGCTGTCGGCTAGCAACCACGCAACACGAATGAGAAGTCCATGATATGCGGATGGGTATGTATGTGGTTGCTGCACCCGTGTTTCCTTGATGTATTGCTCATAGCAGTAGTAGAACTGGCCGCCAATCAACGACAGCGGCATGGCCGTGTAGCACGACCCAAACACCATCGTGAGCATGTCAAAGAGGCAACCGGCGGGCGTTTTCGGCGTCAAGTCGCCGTACCCGACCCCCGTGAGCCTAGAACAGTCAGTTGGTCCTTGTCGTCGTCGCATTTCCGACGTACGTGACGGCAGACATCCACGTCGTGCGCCACATGTCTTTGAGTTTGACCAGACCCTCGACGTGGAGTTGGATGTGTTTGCCATATGGAAACTGCGCAGCAATGGCCGCCGTCATAAGATCAGTGTGAAAGTACATGCACGGCACCCCCGCTTTGCAGGACGTTCCGCGCTCGACTTCAAAAAAGATGGCCCCCGCGGACGCACACGCGAGAAATAGGAAAAACAGCTATCATACCCTCCATAAACAAACCAAACCAAACCAACCGCGAATTGTGTACCGGAATCGCTAGGCGCTCATACGTGAGGGCGGCCGTGCGCGCCAAGACGGCGCTGCCTTGGAAATACTACAAACACATATATACAATCAGTAGTGCGCTGGACCAAGACTCGTGTCTGTTGGCGTACCCATCCAAGCTTGAGAATGCGAATGGTCTTCATGATGGGCAACACTGACAACAGGGTCGGAAATACTGGAGAGCTCACGTAGACGGGGCGGCGGCCCGCGGCCAGTCCGGTCATCGTCTAGGCGTAGAATAATCATTAGAATGCTCCACCCATAAGAGTGTAATGTCGATGGTGGCGTGTACTTGAGCGTAGAACGGAATGATGGCCAAGATATCGATCCACGTGCTGGACGACCGTAGAAACCGGCGGCGGTGGTTGGACACGTAGAACCGCAGGCTAAGCTCAAGTGTAAATGCCACTGCCAGGTACACTTCGATGTAGATCCACTGGCGCGTCAAGTCGATAACAGGCACGTGGTCCCGTTTGCATTCGCGCAAGTTGCACACTTTCGACGGCTGGGCAAAGCTTGTGGCGCACTCCATCGTGGATTCGTTGCCGCCGTAGTTGAGTCCCATACCAAAGCATGACTGTAGTTGTTTGGCTGGGTCAGTGTCTTCATCGCAGTAAAACGTTACTTTGGCCGGGGGTTCTATTGTGGTGGCAGCAGCCACATAGCAACCTGGGCTGGCCTCAACCGACGACGACGCGGCCGAATTGCAGTATGCTTCCATGACCATGTGACACAGATGACTTGTGGGACCAAACGCTTGCAATTCAGGCACCGACTCGGCGTAAAAGACTACCACACTGAGCAAGACCGACGACAGGTAGAACCGATTCGCCCATGATCCGTAGCTCGTGGACCGGAGGCTGAACCGCAGTCGCCGTCGGAATGACAGGTTTGGGTCCAGGAGATTGATAGGTGTGTCGGCGCGCTGCAGCTGCCCCACTCGTTTCCTGGCCCTACCAACCGCCAAGTCATCAAGAGAAACACAAGCACAGCATGTTGCGTACTTGGTGAGAATGTCCCCGGCGAAGAGGAGCAGCGACGACCCGCGGCGAGGCATGCCGGGGGGGTGCGCAACAAACGAGGCTCGGGGCATGGAAAAGTCAAAGTCCGGCGGCAAAAGCGGAAACAGAACCGACAAAAGCGTTTGAAACGTTTGAATCGCGTGGCTCCCCGCGGCGTGTAGCTCCATAAACGCTTGGTTAAGTGTGTTGTCGTCCATGAAGAGGCGGTCGTTGGGCTACATGGGATGCCACAGCCCAGTGATGTTGAGGCGACCAAGAGTCAAAGAGAAAGCACACGTACAATGGTGATGTAAGCGTCGACGAGTCGTGCCAGGCGCGCGATGGCGCCGATGGTGCGGTGCATGTGCAAATTGGCATGATTCGACTGCGGATGCAGCGGCTGGATGGAGATGGCCTTGAGCGCTGCGTGCAGCTCCAGCGTGCTTCGAGTGGTTCGCGACACGTTCTCAAACCGCCGCCACGTGAGCTCGTACTTGATGCCAATGATCGCAAACGGCATGGCCAGGTATAACGCGCCAAAGATCATGGCGACGGTGGCGACGACGACGGCCAGTGGGTTGGTCACGTCAGGCACTTGGTCGCCGTACCCGACCGTCGCAACGCTACCATGGAATCGATGCAGAAGTGCAAACTCACGGATTAACTTACGTGACCATGATATAGTAGCTCGTGTTGATGATGTCCGTGAATGTACACTTGGTGTCATCGTAGCATGGTTGGGCGTAATACAGTACCGTGGCCAGCATCATGACGATCGTGACGAGGAAGAACAGCTACATACGACGATGACATATGAGATTGGGGATGAGTATAACCATGGGATTGTCATACTGTGATTTGGAGCGGATGGACACACTCGAGCAACGTGGCTTGCAGCACGCGAATGCCACTGACGTTCTACACATCAATGCTCAGCAACAGCATCCAGGGAAGGACGGAGACGTCGTACGCGGAGCATGTATGTGACCCGCACAATGCGAAACAGTCGCAGGAGTTGGAGGTACTTCTCCACGGACGAAATCAACGCCTGGTTCCAGTGCAGTAGGTACGTCATCACGACCATCCCCACGAGGTGCAGCAGGCCCAACACGTCGATCCACGTCACCAACTGGGCCCAAAACTACGTTCAACATAGTTAACCAACCCCTTTGGTGTCATCAGGCTACCTTTCGCTGTCGCTTGGCTACGACCCACCGAACGGCAAAGTCGAGGCCGAACACGGCTGTGAAGACCACGTCCAAGTAAAAGTAGGTCGTTGTGGAAGGCAGGAGGGGATACCGCGGGTCACTGCCGCCGTGGGCAGGTCCGTCCATGGTCTCCATCATCATGGGGACGAAATTCACAACAATTGCGAACAGCAACCCGTAGTGACGAACGCGTCCGAGCATGGTGGCGTGGGGGTACTTGATGAGCTGCCGCACCCGCCGCCGCCACGTATTCGGCGGCGGGGCTTTATGGTGACTATGAAACTTGCGCTGTACGGTTATGGGAGTCAACATGGCATTGCTGCTTTCTTCCAAGGTATTGACCAGATCTGCTATCGACGTCGAGCACCGGCGCATTTCCGCCGCCGTCGGACCGTGATGCCGATGCACGTGCGCTTCAGTGGACTTGCGCCGAAGTTCCTTCAACATGGGCGGTGGCGGCGCCACCAGGCGCAGCACTTCGACCTTCGTCATCGCTGGCAAGCGAAATGCTTCGAAGGGCGGTTTCACTGGCGTAACCGACCATAACACTCGTGACATGAACGCGCAGGATATTTTGATTTTGATTCATGTCGTCGATTCGCACAAAAGGAAACTGTATGCGTATCATACCGGTATGGATGGAGTGGCGTTGGTTTACAGCTCGGACTCGGGTGTAGATATCGATCGTACTGTAGGGTAAGGATGTACAGTAAGTAGGTGGGTACAGTGGTCGTATATCACCGCTGCCACACTAACCATGTACGAAGTACTTGTTAGACAGTGAGTACGACAACATTTCGCTCCGTGCCTGTTCATTGAAGTTACGTTAAGCTTACATATGGGACATCCTCGGGTTGCGACACGACAACAAGGCCGTTCAATGGCAAACCATATTTTTATAATAAGGAGATTTCGCAATCGTCGGTTATTTGTTCGCGTTCAGCTCGCGCAACGACAACGGCAGCGGCAACGACAGATATTTTATGATTTCGCAACAGCATATTTCCATCAAAATATACGAATAAAATATCCGGATAAAGGATCAGCATGGGCACACGTCCAAATGAACGAACAGCACTGGTGGTGTCAGTCGTGCGGAGGCTACTGTACTTAAAACAAAGTCACGTCAACGGTACAGTAACGTCGACTGTTGTTACTGCCGTGGAAGCTGTTACAACGTCCTGTTATCCCGGACGTTCGATTTCGCCTGGACACGTTGCGCAACAGCTCTCTGTCCGTCGAACGAGCCCTGTGATGAACCGCCTGTAGCTGCACCTAGCTTCTGCACCAGTTTGTATAACACGCTAACGTGAACCACTAGACAATGCTCTTTACCGGTAGTCCATATTGACTTTGTAATGCACGATACAACATGCTAGTACATAGTAGTCGACAGAGCGCGAACAAAAAACACGCAATAGCGTGGCATAGCTGTCCGTAGTACATAGAAACTCCCTCAGCAAGTCTAACCCAACTTCGCCTACCGCGAGCACTCATTCGACTCGAACCACCTAGCTTCTCATTTGTTGTAAAGAGGGAACGCTGACGTCGCCGGTATCCGATCATTGGCGGTGCTGCTCCGCTTACCAGGCGTTGTGGCCACGCCAAGCCGAGACCGTTGTCATGCTGTAGAGGCCTTGTGTATTCTGCTGCGCCGCCTCACATACCCGACCATTTCTTCGTCTTGGTGTCGTGCTCGACACTCATTTTTGTGATTGTCGAGCATGTCACCAAGCGCTTTGAAAGTTTATACATGTTGATGCATTGCTAGAGTTTTTTGAACGACAGACTATCGTTCAGCCAGCCATTTTGCAGACATATGCATCAATTGTAGACAGGTTTTGTCGTTCCGGAATTTGATCATAGAGGTTTTTTCGCCGGAGCGGAAAGAGAACGATATCGTTCATTGCGAAATCTCCTTAATGTCGTGAATGTATTAATAAGTCAGTACAGTAACACAACCTCGCGAAGCTCCAAGCAGCGTGATGGTGTTTGTCTTGCGCTGTCGCCCGTGGTTGGGCGTCTGATGGCGCCACCAAACTAAGGATTCCCAGTGTTCGACCTTCAGATGTCCTACATAGGAGCGGTTGATTAAGCTTACTTATTCTAGCTGTTCGAAGGAGGACAGTGGGTCATCATAGCCGCTGCTGTCTCGACCTCGTTAGACTTGGGCTCGGATTGCATGTCACGAGCACTCGTGGCTGCTACATACACTGGAATTCGTCCAAACCATCGGGGAATGTACAGTACGTAGCGACACAACTGCTAAATAAATTCACAACTCTTTTACGTAAATACATGTAACACGGCGGCGGCGTTCATCGCATCATCATCATCATGAACACGTCAAATTGCTCCAATTCGTGATGGGCGGCATGCTGGTGTGGGGTCGACTCGTCCATGGATTTATCGCTTTCGACGTCTTCGAACACAGCGTATCGTTTAAAGGTCGCACCGGCGCCAGCCACAGCGCACGTGAGGATGGCGATGTTGGAAATTGTGGCAGGACTGCGGAGCCACTTCTTGGATAACTTGACTAGTCGTGCTGTCTTCATGGATTAACTGGAAATGGCAATCCGACAGTGTGTTTGTGCATGTCTAGGCGCATTGCGTGTCTGCGCCCTTTGGGTGGATGGATGGATACATTAGTCGAGTCGTTGCATGTGCACAAAAATCCGACGATGTCGAATTAACCGGATAAACTCAAAACTTCAATGTCGATTTATCCGGATGGCATCACTAGAAAATGAGACATTTTCCATGACGTTTTCGTCTTGGTCTACTTGTGAGAGTCGATGTCAATAAGGTTGTAGAGGTAAAGGGGCAGGTCAAACGCGTGAGAAAAGAAGGAAGTGGGCCACGAAACTGCACATCTCGACAAGGCCAAAGAGCAGCATAACGTTACCGGTATTGGCGAGGTTACTATGTCAGGATTGCTACGGTAGTCGTTGACCCCCATATAGCATTAGAAATATACAGCGTCGTTCCTCGATCTCTTTGGAGGCGTACTACCGGTACATGTACTAGTAGTTAGTACATATGTACCGTCTTAATTTACATGTGCGTGTGAGTTCTATTGCTATTGCACCGCACACACTTCGCTCTTGGTTTGGTCAGCGTGGGTGGCCTTGTCCAGGCCGTTGACATCACACACAAACTCGACGTCAAAGATCGCTGTGACAGGTCGGTGGTCGGAAGTCTTCACGTCCATGTGGCTCTCGTACGCCAATAGCGCAATGGCAGCCTAACATCATATCGTCACAACGCATTCCAGCATGCTGCACCTACTACATACCGGTGTCGCAGCGGACATATACAAAATGCGGTCAGTCCACGATGGAATCCGCTGCTTGGCCGACGTGTCGTAGTCGTCGCACCCTGATACCAAACAAATGTCACCAAAAACGTTGCCACGTAAAAGATACAGGGAGCGTGCCACGTCATCACCTTTGTCAAATTTGTACGTCGGTTTGAAGTTGAGTGGTCCTTCCCGAAACCGCTAGGCGACGAAACAGCGTGATGACGATGTGGCTACTAAACGACTGCCAACATACCTGAAACACACGCCCAGCTGCCATCTCCTTGCGCAGCTGGTCGTTGACCACGAGCACCTGCGACACCGTCCATTAAATGTGTGAGGACGACCAGAATCCATCACATGTAAGGACGTTACATCATGGAAGTTGCGCGCCAACAAGTCGTCAATCATCTTTCGGGTGCCGTCGATGCGATAATTCAAGTCGCCACTCCAAAACACGCGGTCAAACGTTGATGCGATCGGTCCTTTCCGGTGTTCGCTATGGAAACAAACACTTGAGAATTCAGTGGGGGGAAGGGGTATGGGGGGGCGATTTACTCGGAGGGCGCCACCAGCTGCAGCTCGGAGTTGACTTTGTGGAAGTTGGCATTGCGACGAATCAGCGCCTGCTGCGACTGATGGGCTTCAAAATGACATCCCACAAACGCAAACGACGTACGACCCAACATAAACCCAATCCCCACGCCCCCTACAAGACCAGAACAACGCCGTTTGATAACGTCGCCATACATCCTTGATAACGTCGTCACAGGTCCTTGATTACGTCATACCCTTGTTGCCCAACTGGTTGCCCAGACCCGTGGCAATCGCATCCGAGTGCAATTCCGACACCAACGGCAAGATGCTCGTGTGCACAAACACCACGTTGTGCATCGCCGTCAACGCATGACTGCGCAGCTTGACATACGTCGCGCCCAGGGTATCCTTGAGCTGATCCTCCCATTCCTTCTTCGACTGAAACAGCACCGATTTGGCAATGCTACAAAGGAACTTTGACATTGTATATATAATATATATATAGATCCCGCAGTGCATGCGGTAAGGATCGTACGATTGCACGCATTCTTCGGTCCCAATCGCGTAAATGTGACACGACCCTGGCCTCAAAAGCAAAGTCAAATCCGCAGGGGGTTTCTGCGCCTGGAGGTTCCACGTCATGACCAACACCCGCACTTGACCACGACTCGTCACAATTTGCGTGGTATGGTTGGTCACATCTACATCACCAGGATCGTCATCATCTTCCACCATGGAATGCAAGTCGTCATCCGTCCTACCCAATTGAGTCTGTAGTGTCATGGAGGCGGGCCACGAGCGGGACTTCTTGTCTTCGTCGCCGTCCGTGTGCTTGGTGCTTGGTGTCAAGTCGCTGCTTGGACTGTGCCCTGGCTTCCCTTTGGCCTCGGACGCGTTGTGTTGACCACTTGGTCGAATTGACGATACATCATGCCGCCAGGGTTGCACTTCCGCCAAGCACTTCCGAATGTGATGCCCACGGTACACGGCTTGGATGTCGGTAGCCGCTCTCTCTACCGACCCGATTGAACTCAACAGACACGATGTACGCAAGTACAGTACCTTCGCGCGCCACCTCGACCTCGGCCTCGTGCCGCACCGTGGCGTCGACCTTCTCGCGCTGCCGCATCGCTTCCATACGCCCTTCGTGGCCTCGAAATGTCGCCTGAATTCTAATCAAGCCATGAGACAACCCACATTCGTTGGCTATGCATGCGCACTGCGTGGCCCGGCGAGTTTGCTCTTCGTGTGGTGGTGCACTAAAAATGTTCCAGTCAGTGTAGTAAAGCAATGAACCGACCCGTCCATGCTTCAGGTCGAGCCATACCATGGGGTTAACTTTAAAGCGCTGGTCTGGCGCGCCGACAACAGGGGTGGTAGCGTGTGGTGTGCCGTTTCCAGCCGCGCTTGGGACCGCGCAGAAGTCGGTTGGCCGAGAGCGGCTGGTGACAGGACGTCGAGGGAAGGGCCACCGTGCCTTGCACTTTGACGTTCGGCCGCTTCTGGAATCGACTCCTGGCGACATAGGCGCCTCGTTGACTTGGGCGACACGAGTTGCTCAGTCGAACTGAGCTGGAGCACTGGAACAACGAGTGACGAGGTCGTAAGGTGGTCTAATCGGGGGCCACGACGGTGTTTGGTTCGAGCTTGGTGGCCTCGCACGTGTGCTTGGATCTTCACAGCCGCATGGCTTTTCCTTTCGTGCTTTCGTTTCCGCGCCGCTGCTTTCCGCTCGTCCTTCTTCTTTCGATGGGCGGTGTCGTCGTCGTCGTCGTCGTGATGGTCCTGCAAGATGCCCTGAGCACTGAGTTGTGAACTACGACAAGACGAGATACGACATACTGCATCGCTAGAGATCATGGGGAGCGCTTTGGGAACTTGGGCTGCCACCACGTCATCGGCCATACTCGAGTTCGTGGCTCCAACGCGCGAGCCGTTTCAAAACTCGTCAACCGGCATTTGGTTTCAAACTTAGTATCTCAAAAACGTACTGGTACAAATCAGTCCATGTACTCAGCTTTCTTAACTTATTGCTCGGGTATCTTGACCGTAAACATGTTCCAGTGGCAACTGTATTGCTGTCGCCCTTTGCAATGACAAACAAGAATAACCCTCCAGTGCAAAATATTGGTTAATTAACAAGGGATAAGACCATCACACGCCAGCAGCAACAGCCACCACCGTAGCCCGCAGCCGAGCCATGGTTGCGTCGACGGAGCTGGTTACGTCCGCAAGTGATAGCTTCGCGCACACACCACTTGTTTGGAGTATGTTTGCCAAACGGGGTTGACCATTCGCCACTGCAAAGTGAACCCCTCGCTGGGCGAGCTTCATGTGGAGCATCTCCAATCCCCCCAACGTCGTCGCATCCATGTCGTGGATGTAGGTTGCGTCTAGAACCACGGCAGTCGCCACGTCATGATGGAGGGAGAGAATCCTTTGCATCGCATAGTCGGTGTTTCCAAAGTACAACGACCCTTGCACCCGAACGACCACGATGTCGGCGTCGACAATCGCATCGGCATTCTCGCGAGTGTTTACATACGCCCCAGACGAACGAGATCGACCCAACGCGTACACGAGCGGTCGCTTTGTCTGGATCATCAATGCTACCAGCGAGCAAAGAATGGACACCCCCAGGCCAGGCAGGATACCCATGCCAATGGTGGCCGCAAAGGACGCCAGCCAGACGAAGAATTCGTCTCGTTTCGAGTGGAACAGCCACGTGGCTTCGTGAATTTCAACGAGGTAGAACCCCGCAACGATGATCACGGCGGCCAAGCTCGCTTTGGGCAAAAAGTACAACGCATCCATGCCCACCATGAGCATCAAAACGACCAAAAGAGAAGTCACTGTCGACGCCAGCTGCGTGCGAGCCACTTGCATGTTGACAGCCGTGCGGGACATACCTCCCGTGGGCGGCATTACTTGAAAGAACGCACCCAATGCACTGGCCATACCGAGCCCAATCAACTCTTGGCTAGAATTGACGTCCGAGTGAACTCGAAGGGCCAACCGCTTGGTCATGGCGATACTTGTCATGTATACAATCAATGCCATGGACAAAGCGTGCACGGTCAACGTGGTAAAGTCCACGGACTGGATGATGCCAGTGGCGTAGCCATACCACGGCAACACTGGCGCAGGTACGCCCCGAGGGACATGGCCGATGACTTTGACCTCTGATTCCCCTAGAAATTGGCCCACGACAATTCCAATCAAACACACGACCAACGGCCCCAAGTCGCAGCACGTTCGGAGGAGAAACAAGAGCACATTGCGTCGTTTGTTCGAGCAGATCGGTGGTTTAGCGGGGGCTTGTTCGTCCAACGATACAAAGTCGTCGTCATTCAGGGAAAAACCCCACGCTGGCAATTGGGCAGGGGCATCTGGCTCTTCGGTGAGAGAGACTAACGATTCCCCGGCTCGTGTGCACTTGATATTTCTCGTGGACTCGAACAAGTGCGAGACTTTGGGGGCTGGGATCCAATGCTGCTTGGCGTACTTCATCACTGAAAGCACAACGATCGAGACGGCCCCCACGACCACCGAGTTGGTGTTGCAGTCGCGGATCTGGCGACACAGGTTCACCACCGTTTCAAGTGGATACGATGTCGACGGCAGGGTCAGCTGGAACCACGACCCGAGCTGGGAGATCATGATGAGCACGCCGCCTCCAGAGAGGAACCCGCCCATGACTGGCCGCGAGAAGAAGTCGGCAATCACGCCCAGCTGCAGACACCCCAGCGTCAAGTTGATCAGACCAATGTAAAACGACAAAAAGATCCCCACGGCCACCCGTTCTTGGTCCGTCTTGATGTTTTGCAGCGCCGCGCCGACCATGAGACTGACTTCGGCCCCGTTGGCCACCGAGAGCACGCGGGACGAGCCAAAGAGCGCGTACAGTACCGGCGTCAAGGCGGCAGTGTACAAGCCGTACTGCGGAGGGACATGCATGATGTTGGCGAGAGAGATCTCTTGCGGCACGATCATCATGGCCACGGTGACCCCGGCAATGAGGTCGAGCTTCAGGTCACGGCGAAGATTGTAGTGAGGAATCCAGTTCAGGTGCGCCAGCCACGGTTGTGCCCACTTGATTTTGGGGTCATCATGTGGCTTGTACAGCAGCGTCGCGCGTTCGTCTGGCGCTGTGTTCGTCGACGTCGTCATTGCGTTGGAGGTTTCAAGCCTCAATGGTATTGGCATCCTACATCACGTGTGAATATCCAACCAACGACAACGATACTGTGGATTGGGACAAATCAGCCAATAAGTACCCAGTTTTCTACAGACGTGGTGGGCCCGCGTGATTGGATGAATCCAACCAATCAAACGAACGACATATGGATCGCGACCTTTCGAGGGGCAACAATAATGAAACGGAAGGAGTTACGTATGCAATATGTATATTATATTCAAATTATCATGCAAGTCGATTGATAGCGTGAAATGCCCTAAAACGCAACGCCTGGGACTTCCAGCGCACGCAGACGAGCGATGGTGTGGTCGATGGACTCGGTCACTTCGGGCACCGACAGCTTGTCGGTGAGGCCGCTGACTTTAATCACATGCGCCAAGTGGGGTTGGGCGTTGGCAAACGCGAGCTTAATCGGGCTCAGCTTGAGCAGAATCGTGTCCATAATTTGCAATGTAGTCGCGTCCATATCGTGGATGTACGTGGCGTCGATAACGATGGCGCGGACCTTGTCTTGGAGCACCACTTGGGCCAAAATCACTTGCATCGCATACTCGCTGTTGCCAAAGTACAGCGACCCTTCCACGCGCATGACAATCGTGTCGAGCTCAGTGGTTGCGTCGGGGTTCTCTTGCGCATTCACGTACAAATCTCCCGATCGACCTAGCGCATACACAAGAGGTCGTTTGGTCTTGATCATGAGCGCCACAAGCGAGCACACAATCGACGCGCCAAGCCCAGCTAGAATTCCTAGCCCAATGGTCGCCAAGAAGGACGCCAGCCACACGTAGAATTCGTCGCGCTTGGAGCGATACAGCCACTTGGCTTCGTCCATCTCAATCAGCCAGAAGCCAGCCACGATGATAATTGCGGCCAAGCTGGCTTTGGGCAAAAAGTAAAGTGAATCCGTACCGACCATCAAGACCAGGATGACCAGCGTCACGGTGATCACGGACGCCAGTTGCGTACGGGCGCTCTGCATGTTAACTGCCGTGCGGGACATGCCTCCTGTGGGGGGCATCACCTGAAAGAACGAGCCAATGGCACTGGCCATGCCGAGCCCAATGAATTCGTTCGTCGGGCTCACTTCGTACCCGTCGCGAAGTGCCAATCGTTTGGCCATAGCAATGCTCGTCATGTACACTATCAACGCAATCGATAGCGCGTTGACCGTCACGTCGGAGAAGTCGACCGACTTGATAATATCGCCAGTGTATCCATACCAAGGAAACTTGGGCGACGGGAACCCTTTGGGTACGTGTCCTGTCACTTTGATTTGCTTTTCCCCTACCGCTCGCCCGACCACAATCCCAAACAAGCAAATGACCAACGGTCCCAGGTCGCATATCGTGCGGAGGACAAAAAACAGCACTTGGCGCGACTTGTGTTTGACCGTCGAGTTGGACTTTATCATAGGAGGCACCGGTTCCAACGACGCGTACTCTTGGTCGTCCAACGAGAAACCCCAAGTCGGGTGTTGTGCCCCTTCGGTGGGGGTTTGAACTAACGCGGCGTTCATGTCGTTCTGGTTGGACATGGCGGTGACATCCACCACAAGGGGTTCGTCAAACAATTGCGTTAGGCTTGGGTTGGGAATCCAATGCTGCTTGGCGTACTTCATCACTGAAAGCACAACGATCGAGACGGCCCCCACGACCACCGAGTTGGTGTTGCAGTCGCGGATCTGGCGACACAGGTTCACCACCGTTTCAAGTGGATACGATGTCGACGGCAGGGTCAGCTGGAACCACGACCCGAGCTGGGAGATCATGATGAGCACGCCGCCTCCAGAGAGGAACCCGCCCATGACTGGCCGCGAGAAGAAGTCGGCAATCACGCCCAGCTGCAGACACCCCAGCGTCAAGTTGATCAGACCAATGTAAAACGACAAAAAGATCCCCACGGCCACCCGTTCTTGGTCCGTCTTGATGTTTTGCAGCGCCGCGCCGACCATGAGACTGACTTCGGCCCCGTTGGCCACCGAGAGCACGCGGGACGAGCCAAAGAGCGCGTACAGTACCGGCGTCAAGGCGGCAGTGTACAAGCCGTACTGCGGAGGGACATGCATGATGTTGGCGAGAGAGATCTCTTGCGGCACGATCATCATGGCCACGGTGATGCCAGCAATGAAGTCAAACTTGAAATCACGACGAAAGTTGTATTGCGGAAGCCATGCCAAGTGCGCCACCCACGACCGTGATGGCTTGGAAAAGAGGTGCATGGACAACGAGGTCAAGTGCAAAGTGACTTGCTGGCCGTCGACAACAAGGCGAGTAGACACGATCAAGCGTTGAATCGGCTGCGCTGTCAACGATGTCGAACTTTAGGCTCGTGATGCAAAATGCTCTTCGAGTTTGATTGGCTCGTCCACTGACCTTCGAGTCTTGCCGTTTCGAGTTTCGAAGGTTTGTGACCAGTTAACGGCATGAGATGGTCGAACCAGCTTCATGGTCAAGAAAGATTCGACTGATTTATTATAATAAATACTGCTATGTTATTCGCATGAAGAGTGCACGCTATTTTGAATCGACGACGCCACAGCGAGCATAACTACGCGTCCTTTCGGTTAAGACACTCCTAACGTTAGTATGATAATGCAAGTAGGAAAGGACTACTACTCGCCAAATAAATTCGTCACACAAGCGCGAACTCGAGTTATGTTGATGGTGTTCCGGAGATCGTCCAAGTCGTCAGGAATCGTAACGCTGCCATGGCCAACCAATGCTGGAGGCAGATCCACACCGGTGAAGACGACGTGCAGCGGGAACTGAATATTCACAGACACTGCGTCGGGTAGAGGACAGCTGTCACCGAACTCGCGCTCGATCCCTGGGTGCGTTACCATGTTGCCAATACGCCAAAATGTGCTGCCCCATGGAACGTGTGATTGGTTATCAGTCGATTTTGAAATTCAGAAAGTGGTAGTTACGCTGAGAGGCAGTTGCTTATAGTTATCTGTTAATTTGGGTGAATTTTCACTGCATCTGAAAATCAAAAAAGATATATGGGACGATCTTTGTTACAACATGGTCAAGGGCGGCAATGCCAAGCGCCGGGTCTTTCGGAACTCTTTCGACCCGGGCGGTGCATGCCTCGCCCCCCTCCGCTCCATCAGCACCCCCATGTGGTCGCCGCGGCTGCCCCAGGTCATGTCCGTCATCAAACTTATGAGATTTCAGACGTCCCAATCGTCATTGCCCAGGAGAAGCTCGAAACCATCGCCAAAGCACCTGTGGCAACTGCGCCCACAAGTCGACGGCGACGGGGGGGATGTGGAAGCGTCATGGGGGCCGGTTGTGGTGTGTCCTAGCGTTTCGCTCCCGGGCTTCAAGCGCTGGCTCGACGCAAAAGAAGGACTATTGCGTCGATGGACCTTTGAGTGGCTCTGACAACGGTCGTATCCTAGTCTACATCTTCACGACTTTCACCCATGGTGTAGCAGCCAATAAAGTATGCGCTCTCATCCCTAGAGAAGGTTGCATCGGTAAGCTTACAAGTACGACAGCCTCTCGTGCCTTCGCGTGAAGCTCCTCCGGTGGATGGGTCCGACCACGTCCATACAAGTGGCCATCGGCATCAAGATTTTTGCGGGCAGCCCGCGTCGCTTGGCTATCCTGCACCCGAAACCCCGAAACCCCGGAACACAGCTAGCCAGGGATCGAGCGCGAGTTCGGAGACAGTTGTCCTCAACCAGACGCATTATCTGCGAGTATTGAGTTCACACTGCACCTCGTCTACACTGGTGTGGATCTGCCACCGACATTGGTTGGCCATGGCAGCGCTATGATTCCTGTCGACTTGGCGTTCTCCGGAACACCATCAACAGAATTCGAGTTCGCGCTGGGTGATGAATTTTGGAGCATACTACAATTGTAGGTTCGGCCATTAACATTAATCGTGATTGCTATTGTGGTACTAGTATTTATAAATGATTAACGTTACGGCATTGCACTCGTGCATAATTCCTGCTTCTGTGGTTATACGGTACCGATAATGGAGATCAAGGTGTGCTTTGTTCCGTTCGGGCAATTAGTCTCGATTTTTACTCTGACGATGGCTTCTCCGATAACCACTGAAGTCCAATGAGTTGAGGAATTTTGCTTTACAGTTAGTTATTCACGCATACTCTATTCAAACAACGCCAACTACAGCAACGGATCATCGTCTCCTTCGTTGGTTGCTCGCATGATGAGAATGGTATCGTCAATCGACGACGCCACATCCGCCACAAATAATACGTGGCACACCCCACTCGCGTTTAAACTTCGCGCCAGTTTCGGCTGCGCATTCGCGAGGCACAGTCCAATGGTGTCACGGGACAAAGCTCGAGCAAATCGTTCGATCATTTGCATGGTCGTCGCATCCATATCCTGCACATACGCCACGTCCACGACGACTCCACTAAGCACGACATGGTGTATCTGTTGGTAGGTCGTGGTAGCACGCTGCAGCAACTCCATGGCATTGTTGCAGTTGCCAAAATACAGCGAGCCTTCGATACGTAGTACCAGAATGTCGACCATGATGGAGGCAGAGGTGGCACATAACATAACGCTACTAGGGCCAGCAGCACTTGCCATGGGCACATACTGGACTGTGTGGGTTGGCCCTGGAGCGTTGACGCGGGCCAACGTGGACACTTCTGGCTGCTTGGTTTGGACCATCACTGCGACCAACGAACAGACGATAGACGCCACGAGTCCAGGTAAAATCCCCAACCCGACCGTCAGCAAACATGAGGCCAGCCACACGTAGTACTCATCTCGCTTGGCTCGGTACAGCCACTTAGCTTCGTCCGTTTCGATGAGCCAGAACCCCGCCACGATGATGTTTGCTGCGAGGCACGCTTTGGGGAGGTAGTAGAGTACTTCGGTGCCCACCAAGAGCACGAACACGACCAGCGCCACCGTGACGATGGACGACATCTGGGTCCGCGCGTTTTGCATGTTGACAGCAGTGCGGGACATGCCGCCTGTGGGTGGCATCACTTGAAAGAACGCTCCCAGGGCACTGGCTACGCCGAGCCCCACTAGTTCTTGGTTCGGGTGGACCGTGTAATGGTCTCTCACTGCCAGACGCTTGGCAATGGCTATACTTGTCATGTACACGACCAACGCAATCGATGACGCCTGGATGCTGACGTCGGCGAACCGCACGGACGTGATCACGCCGTCCGTGTAGCCGTACCATGGCAGACGCGGTGCCGGAAAGCCGGTGGGGATATGGCCCAGAACATCTACCCGATGTTCGCCCACGATGCAACCGACGACGATTCCCACCGTACAGATGACCAAGGGGCCAAGGTCGCAGATCGTACGAAGAAGGAAGAAGCCGAGGGTGCGCCACCATTGGTTCCGCGCCACGGACTGGGCTCGCAATGCTGTTGTGAGTACATCTAGCGTGGCATACTCATGATCGTGCAGCGAGAAACCCCATGTGGGGTGATTGCCGTCGTCATCGTCGCCCTTTGGCGTGTGGATGTTGAAGTCTTTGACATGATCATCTGATGGTGTCGTCGATTTCTTCTTCGCATCAAAGAGGTCAGCTAGAGCTACGTAGGGAATCCAATGACGTTTGGCTTGCTTCATGGCGGCATTGAGTGCAATGGCCATGCTCCCCACCCCAAAGGAAGTCCAATTGATGCGGGAGAAATGCGCACCAATGTCGTAGAGGGTCTGTAAGGGGTAGGTGGACGGGGGAAGGGGGAGTTGGAGCAAGGGACCCAGTTGAGAGATCATGATGAGGACGCCACCAGCGGACAAGAACCCCCCCATGACTGGCCGGGAAAAGAAGTCGGCAATAACGCCCAGCTTAAAGTACCCCAAAGCCAAGTTGATCATGCCAACGTAAAACGACAAGAAGATACCCACGGCCACGCGCTCGTCGACGCTCGGGATGTGTTGCAACGCTGCCCCGACCATCAAGCTCACTTCGGACCCATTTGCCACCGACAAGACGCGAGACGATCCCAATAGCGCGTATAACAGTGGCGTTAGAATCGCAGTGTAGATGCCATACTGCGCTGGAACGTGCATGATACTAGCGAGGGAGATCTCTTGCGGTACGATTGCCAACGCCACCGTGATGCCGGCGATGAGGTCGAATTTGAAGTCGCGAGGAAAGTCGTATTGGGTCAGCCATGACAGATGATGACTGAGCCTTTCTGGTAGGCACCGCTCAGCCTTCATGATGTTGGGCAGTGCCAAGTTTCAAAACGTTGAAATAACGTGGCCTAGCCAATCGACTTGGCGTTACCAGGCAAGCGCGACCTTTCGCATTGATGTGAAACTGGCACCCCACGTTTGGTAGAAAGTCCGCACACAAATATCGGTGCAAATTATGTACTAACGTTAACGGTATAATAGCAGGCACGCCTATCATTACCAAGCCAATCCCCATGCTAGTATTGTAGCTAACGTTAACGTTTACAACTAGTAAGTCTGCATAGAGTACTGTAGTCATCAAGTTTACTACTTCGATTTAATAATATTTTTTATCGTGTAAAATGCGTGTCAATTGATTATATTAATCGTAATGTTTTTATCCAATGAAATGCGCCATCCAGTCGAAGTATTGTTTTATACTGTTGCTCTTACAAATAGTAAGTATAAATTAAATCCATGTATTTAATGCCTGGGCCGCCGCCAGGACTTGTGGCTGGCTGACGTTTTCGTTTCCCAGTCGTCAGCAATATGAGCAAGTGGGTGCCGTACAAGCCTTTGAAGCTTGATGCGTACCTGTCGCCGGAGTTGCGCGACAAGCTCCGCAAGCTTTTGGTCTTCAACGTCCAAACGGGCTTGGATCAGGACAATCAGTCTCCCTCGGCGTCGCAGAACTTCCGCTACCCGTCACCCGCCAGTGTGGAGGCGAAGGCCCATATCCCGAACACGACCAAGAAGAACCTTTACAGCACGCAGTACTACACGCGCGATGCCCGCCGCCACGCCAAGTTCAACGAAGTGAACGTCGGCTTCCATCCGTCTCTCGGGGTCAAGCCGCTCGCCCAGTTGCCTGCGGACACGCCTTTGGGCAGTCCCGGGAACAAGAACCCTGCCGTGTTGATTTACGATCCTACCGGCACCCGTTCCGCCATGTCGACTACGCACGCCGCGCGCGATGCTTTGATCGAAGCAACTGCGGACCTCGAATCCTCTCAATGCGTCAAGTTTGAATGGGAAGGCTCGGAGGACGCGATCATTGCCGAATACGAACTCAACGGCACCCCTCCGGTTCCCGGTCGCCCGTTTCCTTGGGACATGCCCGCGCAATCCCGCATTGAACGCTGGTAAACCAAGGATAACATCATGCAAGAGTGAATTTGATCTTGGCTGCATTTCCACCGCAACTGTCACCGAAAACGCGACACAATCGCATAATAAATAGCTCAAACTCTACAACTAATGCTCGCTGTGCGACCGCCTGCTCCCGACATGTTGACTCGATCGCTGGGACAACTGGCTGAAGAACAAGAGGTCGTCGTCGTCGTCTTCGTTGTAGTTGGTTTGGCTCTGGGACGGATGCTTCTGCGACACATGGACGAGCTTGTCCGTAAGGTTCGTCGGGACTTCCTTCTCCACATGAGGAAGTCCTCGTGCAAAGGCGATGCGCGCCACCATTTGCGATTCCTTGGCTGCGTACTCTTGCTGCATCTGCGTTTCTGCAAGCGTTGCTTCCTCCACGGTGGCAAAGGTAACGTAGCAGAAACCCGTCGCCTGGGTATCGCGGGGGTCTCGGTGGATGTCCAAAGCGGTCACTTGCCCATACTTGGCGAAGAAGTCCTGCGCCTTCTTCTCCGCCAAGAGCCATGCTGGCACATGTCCGACGTACACGCGGCGGCTCGTCATGTAGTCCAACATGAATTGGATGGGTGTTGCCAGTTCTTCGACACCGTCGGCATTTGATTGGTTCGCTCGACAGAATGAGCATTTGATTGGTGGAGACAAAGATATTTATAGACAAGAAACGTTGATTGGATAAAATTCATGAGAAGATCGGCAAGTATGGGAGTGAGGGACTTGCGTATTGTTGCCCGTGTCATCATGTCAGCGGCCCCGCTTGCGCTGCCGCGTGTGGAAGTCCTCAGCAAGACCAACATGAGCCTGACAGTCTCCATGTCACCGGCATCGACAAAGATGCAGTTGGTACGTGTGAATCCTCGTTTTTATCCATGCTGACCCTTGCGAGGGTAGGCGTACAGCGAGTATGGGTATGTGTACTACTCGTGGACCGAAGTCGATGTCGTCTCGTCGCCGTGCACGATCAAAGGTTTGCAGCCGAACACTTGCTACGTGGCCAAGGCACGGCATTGGAATGACGAGTCGAACGGATGGTCGGAGTACGGTCCCATCAGTCAGTACATGCGCACGTTCTCGGAGGAAGAAGAAACCAAGCGCAGCAGCACGTACTACGAGCATGTATGTACACGGATGATCCCTGGCTTTGTCTCTGACAACGACAGTAGGCGTTGAAACTGGAGAAGGAACAGCGACAGGAAATGCAGCATCAGATCGAAAAACTGCAACGCATGCTGACGGACCCAGGGTCGAAGAAACGGCAACCGACGCCACAGGAGAACCTCATGGAGAGTCGCATGGACGTGGAAGCCACGATCACCAAGCTCAAGTCGGAGATCAAGGTCCAAGCGCTGTCGATGGAGTCGTTGGAGAAGATGCGACGGATGGACGAGCAAGTGATCACGGATCTCTTGGCCGAACAAGAGAAGCTCCGCCAACTGCAGACGCAGCAAGCCCCCCACGAGCAGCAAGAGATTGAGCGCCTCAAGGCCATGTTGGACGCGAACGAAGCGAAACTCAAGGTACGATGATGCTGGAGATGCATGTCAAAAGTTCCTACTTTGTTTATTTATGCAGAAGCACCAAGACCAAATCTCGACCAAGCAAGGCCAGATCCAAGCGTTCGAGGCGTCGTTGGCGTCCAAGCAGACGGAGATTGCGCGGCGGGAGGGCGAAGTCGAGCGGCTGATGGACGACTGCCGCCGCATGATGCAGGAACACGCTGACGTGGCGCACTGCAAGCAGCTCGAGCTCGAAGACGCGCTCCTGGACGCCAAGCAGTCGCTTGAGAAGCAGCTCGAGAACAACAACCTCATGCATGACGAGATGCAGCGCCTGCGGCACGAGAACGCCGCGCTGAAGCAATCGATTGAAGAATTCGACTCGAAAATTGCCCCAAAACTGGTGCATTTGGAAGAAGAAAATGCCGAATTGAAGCTGCGGTTGGGGCGGACGTAAATAATAACCAGTACCAGCCATGCTATTGTGTTTATCACGGCACTGAAATGACACTGTACAATAACATTTATTGTACTATTAATAGTACGAATTTCCAAACCAATCGAACCTCGACGCCGATTGGCTAATCCAATTTTGAGTGGATTGGATTGGCTCTTACAGTAAGGACAAGTACGTGTATTCAACCAATCAGAGCTCCGGCGTGATTCAATCCTATTGATTCGACAAAACACACAATATTAATAGTAAGTTACTACTACTGTATGTAGTATGGGATACAAATAAGCTGGGCCAAACTTGTGGGCCAAATTATGCTGGCTCCAATCAAAAAAGTATTTTCTCGTGAACAGTTCGATTTTATTATGTGGCGGTTACACTGAAACGACGCTTTGGACGACGACGGACCCTCATGCGACGGGAATGTCCAAGCTGAAACCCCGAGCCCAACGCACCCAGTCGGTGCCGGACGTGCTATCGTCGCCGTTGCCTCTGTACAAACTCCCGGCGGAAGCCAAAGTGGCGAAAACTGGATGTCCGCTACGCCTCCAAGAGCTGCCTGTGGTGCGGCATCTCTTGAACAGCCCAACATCCCCCGAGCCAATCCTAGTGCCCACCTCACCTCCCACATCGACAGCTGTTGCCCCCCCAATTCCCCTTCCTGTTGACGATAGCGACGACGATGAAGACGAGACCACGCAACGCACGACGGTGTACAGCTATTACGACCCTGCCTTGACACATTCGGAAGCAGCGTCGACGCTCCAATTCGATTCGGTCTTTGAAAGCGGCAACTTGCTGCGCGCCGACCGCGTGCGACGCATCGACCACCCCATACAGCACGACGACGATGCCTGTACGCCCTTCATTGCCTAGGTTGGAGTGGCGATTGATGTGATTCTGTAGACCACGAGTATGACCTGTACATCCACCCGGACATCAACAACAGCGCGTATCGCCAGTGGTTTTATTTCTCCGTCACCAACGGTCTGCCAGGCACGTCCTACCGCTTCGCCATCGTCAACTTGGCCAAATCCGCCGCGCTGTTCAAAGTCGGCTTGCAGCCCGTCGTGTACTCGGAGCTGGATGCAGCCGACAACAACGTTGGTCTGTGCTACTATGTTGCTTTCCTATGTCAACCACGACATTGGCATCATGATGAAGACGTCATTAGGTTGGAGGCACCGCGGCCACAGCATCTCGTACGAGGCTTCGACACGCCACGAAGGCGCCAACACATTGTCCTTTACGTACACGTTTGACAGACCAGGCGACCGCGTGTACTTTGCCTGCATACAGCCGTACACGTATACTGGTACTGTATATATATATATATATTGGTGATTTTGAAGAATTTTATATTTTACGGTGGTGACAGACTTGCAAGAGTACTTGGACGCGCTTGGGAACGACCCTGAAAGATCGGTCGTGTGTCGACGAACAGAGCTGTGCTTGACACTGGCAGGCAACTCGTGCGACTTGCTGACCATCACCGCCCCTGGCAAGGAAGGCAAATCTGTCGATGGAAGGCGGGGTACTTTAGATATTCTATCCTCGTCGTTGGAGGTGGATTACTATAATAACCATGGTTTATAGTGGTGGTCATATCGGCACGAGTGCATCCTGGCGAAGCCAACAGCAGCTTCATGATGAAGGTATGTAGTGTACACGCTATTTTGCATTGGTTTCACAGCCATGGTCAGGGCATGATGGACTACTTGACGTCCAACGCGTGCGGCGCCGTGGTGCTGCGCAACAACTTTATCTTCAAGATCGCCCCCATGCTAAATCCCGACGGCGTGATCAACGGCAACACCCGCGTCAACCTTGCTGGTACGATGCATCCTGTATATATATATATCATTAGTACAATAGGATGGGACCTCAATCGAAAGTGGGCGTATCCGGTGGAGAAGCTGTTTCCGACCATCTTTCACCTCAAGCGACTGATCACCAACTACCAGCGCCCCCAGCCCCCCCACGGCGCCCCCCGCGTGGCCATCTACTGTGACCTGCACGGACACAGCATCCAGCGCAACATTTTCACCTATGGCTGCCACAAGGCCCCCTCTCGCAAAGTGAAGCCCCCAGGCCCGAAACTCATCGCGTCGGACGACTCACGGGTGTTCCCCATGCTTGTGGTACGCAGCTAGAGCAAATATTTATCCAGTTCCATCGATCAATTCGCATTATACAGGCCAAGCAGTCGGATATGTTTTCGTTCGCCCATTGCAACTTTAAGGTCCAGCCGTCGAAGCGCAACACGGCGCGGGTGGTGGTGCACCAGGAGCTGGGTGTGATCAACTCGTACACGCTGGAGGCGTCCTTCTGCGGCCCCGATTTTGGCGGAAGGAAGGACACGCAGTTCTCGATCGCCGACCTCGAAGCCATGGGCGTGCATTGGTGTCGCACGCTGCTCGTGTACTTTGACCTGACAGGAGAAGTGGCCGCCGCGGAGCAAGACGCAGTGGCGACATCCAACATCCCCCGAGAGCCGCAGCCCCACGACTGCAGCACCGACAACCTCCACGCGTTTACTGACCACGCCGCCACACCAGCTTCGTTGACCTCCACCACACTTCCCACAACCGAAGAGCAGCAGCATGTGACTCCACACGAGGCGAATGTCGACGAACGGCTGCTGTGGAACGTCAATCTCTTAAGCGCGTGTGAGTCTGAGGTAGAGTATTTGCAATCAAAGTGTACTCATGCTGACATGGTGGAGTCTAGTTGTGTGGATTGACCGAGATGGCGCTCAAGGAAGGAGGCCTTTTCGAAGAAGTGGACATGTGTTGCAACGATTGCGACTCGGACGTGTCGGAAGCCGCGGACGACGCCATTGCGCCAAACCACGAAGTGTACGCGGCGCGTCCAAAGAAAACAACGAAAAAGGTCAAAAAGACCAAAAAAGGCAAAAAAGCTGCTGGCAAAAAGATGAAAAAACCCAAAAAAAAGAATCGGAAAGACGACACGTATCGCGGGGCCGAGGTGGTGCTCAAGTTGTCCAAGTCTAGCGCCGGGGCCATCGTTGGTGCGTCAAGATCTACCCCGCTGTGCTATCTTGTCTGCATGACTTAACGTCACCTCCTTTTGAGTAGTGCCAGACTCGACGCCACTGGCGGGCCTTCTCGTCGGTCGACCGCGCTCTTCCCTGGACCTGAGCATCGACTTGCCATCGAATGTGTACATGCACCTGAAGCAGCGGCCGTCGAGCAGCAGCAGTGTGCTTAGTGTCAGTCCGACGTTCGCGTTAGCCTCGGACTTGGCCGATCCTGTCGATGCCAGCAGGGGGTTGGTTCGGCCAACGTCCGGGTAGACATGCAAGAATGATGTACAGCCTCTAACTTATTGTAACGATTGCGATTGCTTTCTTGAAATCTGACACAGACTTGTTAGTAGTATTTTGCAGTTACTATTTAGTGACATTGAAGGCAGTGTTCAGACTCCTACGATGCTAGCTGTCAATGGGCAGCTAGCTATATGTATCACCTCGATGCCATGAAGACAAACACAAGCGCTCGACCACAGAAAAACATGTACATTAAAATAGGGAGTGTGCTTAGCGGTGGATGTGGTGGTTTTCCGGGCGTTCGAACATGGGGTCGAACAGTTGAGACTGGTTGATCGGGTTGCGCTTGCCGTTGGCCAACGTGAACCGATGAGCGCGCCAGTGCTCGCCTTCGCCGGGTTGATACGTGAAGAAGTCTTGACGGCGGTCCTTGTCGAAGTGCACATCGGGGTGTTGGGTGGAGTACCGCATCATGGTGAACGACGCGCCGGTGAGCGCGACCGTCATGATGGCGATGATGGGGTACGTCGACGGGTCCGTGAGCCACGTCTTGGTGAAGTTGTACGTTGCGCGGGCCGCCATGTTTGTTGTGAAGGACGTATCAAGGGAAGAATTCTAGAATGAGGCTTGCCTGTCGTGCGGCGGCAGCTTGCGCTGCATGTCTTTTTCGTGTGCGTGTCTACTTGGATTGATTTTACAATTAGTTTGGTGTCGCTTGACGTATCCGGACAATTCCGCCCTGGCAATAAAATTAAATCACATACAAAAGCGTTGTTTGGAAGCGAATGACGTTTATTATAATACGACACGAATGTCAAATGTCGAACTTCAACGTGTTCAGACACGCAACGACGACGAAAGAGACAAGCAACACGAAGACTTCAGGCTGGGAACCCAACCCAGTCAATGCTACAGTACTACCTCATTCTAGAATTCTTCGCTTGATACATCCATCGCAACAAACATGGCGGCCCGCGCAACGTACAACTTCACCAAGACGTGGCTCACGGACCCGTCGACGTACCCCATCATCGCCATCATGACAGTCGCGCTCACCGGCGCGTCGTTCACCATGATGCGGTACTCCACCCAACACCCCGATGTGCACTTCGACAAGGACCGCCGTCAAGACTTCTTCACGTATCAACCCGGCGAAGGCGAGCACTGGCGCGCTCATCGGTTCACGTTGGCCAACGGCAAGCGCAACCCGATCAACCAGTCTCAACTGTTCGACCCCATGTTCGAACGCCCGGAAAACCACCACATCCACCGCTAAGCACTAGCCCCGCTTCTATTTTACTGTTAACGTTAATACATGTTGTGACTTTCACTAACATACTACTATCCCCACTTCAGTAAGTACTTACCTATGAAAATGTCTGTGAAATCTGATAAAAATATACTAACTTAGTATGGTGCATTTCAACTAAAGACTACAAAAAAATGCCTTGTCTTTCGACAGCTATTCCAACTTTGTATTGATATTTTTTAGGAAAATAAGCCGTAATAACGATAGAACTGGTCAAGACCAACAGAAGTTACGGTTCAAAATTTCGATTGGTGAAAAATTGATCGAGAAATAGAATTTAAACCAACCAGCCTTTTTGTATGGAAATATATCGAGCCAGGCACATATTGGCCGAAAAGGTGCATCAAGTATATCTTGGTCTTTGTATACAGCACTTATCCGTATGAACGTTTCCATTGTATCCGGATTATTCAGGATGTTTAACCTATTTAACAGATAAAAACGTAAGTAATAATAATTTAACGTCAACATTAGGTGGGTTTAACTGAAAGAACCGAGGCGTTAAAACTAAAACGCCTCCTCCTGGGGATGGCCGATCTGTAGTCTTTAGATGAAATGCACCATATCCAAGCGGTAAAAACTACTACGTATTCAGGATTGTGCATTGGTCTAAATCCATCACAACATTCACATTTCATTGGATGAAATGTTTTGATTATACATGGGTATTTCTGTCCAATTAGAGGTAACTAGGTAAAGCCATTAACGTTGCCAACACTATTTCTTGCTCATCCTTGACCAGGGGTCAATAATATCACACTATTTAAAAACATATTTAAATAGAGTTAACTGGCATCTCGGTGGCGTCCACAGTCGTCGATCCAATTGTCAATGGGTGCCGCTTCCAGCCACGGTGCGCCTGCGGCGAAGGCCGTTGTCACAAGCACACGAAAAGTGGTCCAAACGAGTATCAAGCGGGAAGACTTGAGTACGTAGAGCACGGACGGTCGCCGATATACTCAGCGGTGAGCTCACGTGTGCATTTAGTGAAAAAGCGCCACCTCCGCGTCGTAGCTACGCGTGGCGTGCTCGAAATGGACAACCGCGTTCTCCATGAAGCAGAGCGCTTTGAGGATACGGTGGAGAATGTTGAGTACTTGGAAGTACGTCCTCACCTTCTCGTGCATTACCGACTATACTCATGTTTGAATCCTATTCTACAGACGGATATGACGGCGTTCCACGCCACGGCCGCGGGTCGGCGAGCCACCAACGACGGACCCATGCGCATGCCTACGGATAAAACCCACGCGGCCAACAGTATGACCCTCGTGGACGACATCCCCGGACGTTTCACAGACCGGCAATTCCGCGAATTGCTGCGCTTGCATCGCGAGAGCCCGGTGCAATGGCCGGTCCCGCGGCTGGCCATGCATTTCGGCGCCGACGTGACCACAATTCACAACATCGTGAACCATTGTTGTCCGCCAAAGATCACACCGCCGTCGACCACCGTGAGCCATCCCATTGGAACGTGGTGGGAAGTTGGAACTAGCAACCCCGCCTTGTCGACATAACAAACAGTTGGGTTTCTCGTGAATCTAGTACGCTCGTACGATGACGAGGAAGTCTTATCTCCGTCACAATGAAATTAGATTCACACGCAACATAAACGTTATGGCGCTAGCACGTGTAAATTGTCACTTTGTCACCATAAAACTGGTGTACAGTACTTACACAAAATCAGTCGACTAGTCTTATCACAACAATCTCGTCGTTCGCCCAACAATTCCGTCGACATGGGTCGCTGTCACAAGTGCGTCACGTATAATCAAGTCTTGTGAGTATGGATGTTTCCTGTCCCAATCGAGTCTCAGGTCAAGTCATGTGAGTTTTGCTGACGATGGTAAATCATACCTGGTCGAAATATTACTAGTATAGGGTAGCTCGCCATTCAAGAGCACGCAGCGCATAAGTACAACGACTCTGCAACAAGGGGATGCAATTCAAGCCTGGTGACCACGTTGCTGTTGTACACAGTGTACTTCACGCAACCAGTCGCCCTCAGCGAAACTTTGTCGACTTGTGGCGTTGCATGGATTTCAGCCTTCGCTATAAGACAATACAGCTCCAAATCAACGTGATCGGTCTGGTCTTACTTCTGCTGATTCTGCACGAAATCTGATGTGGCGTAGCTATACTGTATCCTACTCAGTAGATAGAATGTACAGTACCATGATTTGCTGCAGAAGCGAGGGTAAGTGACCTCCTACGTGTTGTGGCGATGACCAGGGGTAGGGAAAATATTATTTGATATTTAGGGCCCGCTGAAATTTGGATTTCGCAGCTGATTCGAGAATCGATTTGACAGTAACGTTAGTGAGTCAGAATTTTTAAATTTTTCAATGTACTAGTATGGTTTTCAAGACGAACAGAATCTCTGGGCCAAACTATAGTAATCAATGATTGGATAAAAACATTCGTTTGTACACTTTGATTTTGTCAAATTCATTCGATTCTACTATTCGGAAGTCCAAATTTCGGTTGACCCTTTGACGTGAAGGGGCAATAAATTGAAATCACGATTGATTTGATTCGCCAAAACTAACTTAATTCAGCCAATCAAACATTATTTCCCTGAGTCTGGCTGCAGCTTTGTCCATCGAACATGTTAAACGCTTGTTGGAACGAAAGCTGTCGATCGAAAAATTGTCTGAGTATTTCTCAAAGTTGCGAAAAGAAGTGTTTTCGGACATTTTTTGTGGCAGCTGGAGTGGCCCTAAATAAATAACTCTTGTTGAGTACTCCGAGTCTTACAGTAGTTATTAATAATAGTAGTACTAATACGTATTAATAGTACTTACAGTCAGGAACGAAACTATAACACACCCCAATTGTTTTGAGTTTGTCATGAAAGTTAAAGTTTTATCCAAAACGATCAAAGACTTCCAGCCTACAGAAGGATTTTGTTCAAATATTTGTGGATCAGAGAAAAATCAAATTTTCGAAATTTTGCGTGTAACAAAACTATAGACGCACTCTTTTGCGACCAGGCCTTAAGTAAGGGGCAGGTCGGGGAAGATTATGAAAATGAGTGCCAGACATGAAAAAACTAGTAGAGATGGACCGGACCATCCACGGCTGAAAACTCGCATCCATGTCTGAGGTATTCCGGAAAGCGTGACCGATTTCGTTGTCCGGATAATTTGGGCATTGGACTTTTGAAATACTAGGACCTTACTGTTAATCTAGTCTTGGCATAAATATGGACAATCTGGTATTGTAGATTAATTGAGTTTTGGATTATCATTATTACGTTCCCCGACCAGGGCCTAGCGAACATCGACTCCACGCTTGTCGACGCTTTTTTGCATGTGAAGAGTGGGATAAATATTTGGTTCTCGTTTTTCATTAGCCCCCATGGTGCGATACCGTTATTTTGAAACCGGCTGTAACTTGCAGAGGAATTTCACGTTCTGGCACTTCGTTTCGCCATTAAGGAGTTTCACATTCTGGTTATACCTTTCGCCATTTACCGACAGCCATGGCGACTCCTTCTCCAGCCAAGGTGGGGTCGCACCCACGTGGGGCCTCTCAGTCCCGCCGAAATTCGCGGCGCGACTCGATGGCGCTGGCTGACGTGATGAACAACTTGCCACCAGAGGTGCTGGCGACCCTCGAAGCGGACGTGTTGAACGACAAAGCGTCGACACCGCACTTCCACATGACCGCATCACAACGGGACCTCAGCGAAGCACAGAAGATCCGGCAAGGAGGGTGGCGTCGGCAGCTGCGAAAACTGTTTAAACAGCCCCGCACCAGTCGAGGGGGTCGTGTGTACCACTACACGATGCTCGGTGCAATCGTCGGCAATTTCCTCCCCATGATTCTGGAAACTCTCGACGGTCCGGCCAACGGCGGAAGCGACCCCACGTATCCGTTCCTGCCGTACCGGTCGACGTACTTTGCATGGGAAGTCATGTTTACGTCGCTGTTTGGGCTCGACTTGTTGGTCAAAGTGATGATCGCCAAGCGACAGCGCAAGGTACCGATGAATACCATTGGGTACTTCTTGTAAAACGTCGTGATGTGTTGTAGTTTTGGTCCCGCATCAACAGCTGGATCGATGTGCTGGGCATCTTGCCACTTCTCTTGTCGCTGTTCATGCAGTACCAGATGGGGTGGAGCGAGGACCGCCGCACTCACATCGAGCGATACATGAAACTCCTGCGTCTCTTTCGGATATTCCGTGTCGCGTACATGCTTCGGGTATAATTCTTCCATGTTCGCTCCCAGTTGATTTATTCACGTGAGTTGTCCTCTTTTCCCAGGAAGTGGACGGGATTCAAGTACTACGAACGACGATTGTCGAGTGCATACCGCCGCTCCAAATCACCGTGCGAATGCTCACAAACCATCGACAACTTCCATTCTCATGGTATACATGTAGGCGTTCTTCCTCATCACGCTCGTCATGATGTTTGCGACCGTGTTGTACTACGCCGAGCCGTGCTACAACTACACCAAGTGTCAGTTCACCGACATTTTCAACGCCGGGTACTTCGTCATGGTCAGGTGGGGGGCTTACAAGAATTTAGATAGTTATGTCCATCTCTCTAAATTGTCTGTCCAGTGTGGCCACGGTGGGCTACGGCGACCAAGTGCCCGACCTAGATAACCCCGTGTCCGTGCTGGTCACATGTGTGCTTCTCATTTTTGGCGCATTATACCTGGCCATGCCGCTCGCGATCATCGGTATCAAGTACGAACTCACGTGGCTACGGTACGAACTCAAGGTCAAGCGCACAACCACGAGCTTGAGCAAAAAGTCCACGGCGCGGCATCCCTCGACGATGAAGTCCCCCTTCGCCCAGCATCACGCCGCCCTTCCGAGCGAGGACATCCACCCGAGTGTGCATGCTGCATACACGCTGTACCTAGATCTGGTCAAAGACGTCATGACGCTCGAGGCGATAGTACAGACCATCATGAACATCGTACGCCAGGCTTGTCTAAAAGATATGATTACCCTGACGAACGTATATTGTTGTAGCCGCCCCACGAAGCCCTCGACAGCCACCAAAGCCGACTGCATGCCGAATCGCTCGTGAAATTGAACCACATGTGCAAGCAAGTGATTGTGCTGTACCAGAAGCTCATGCTCGAAATGCGCGTATTCCAGCCCACGCGACACGCGGGGCTGGTTCCGGGCGAGTCGCCCAACGACCGATTTCGAAGTCGCTCGTCGTCCATCACATCCATCGCGAGCGACGTCATCCATCGGTTCGTATGTTCGTTTGTTCGTGACCATCCACTATGTACCTACGTAGGGCCAAACGAGTAATCCAGCAGAAAATCACCCGTCCGATGTACGACCGCCAGAACTCCACCCTGAACGGCGTGCGGCTGCCGATTCGTAAGCGGCTGCGCTTGGTGCTGGAGCAGCAAACGTCGTCGCATGCAATCTGGGTCAACTGGTTCTTCTATATCAACGCCCTCCTCGGTGTGTTTATGTGTTACGCGGAAACGACCCCGGAACTGCAGGCGTATGGCCCATCGACCATCTTGTGCCGGCGGGCAATGGGCATCTACTGCGGGCAGCCGGGGCGGACGAGCGTGTCTGACGCAGGTTGTTTTGTGTGGCGCTCGAACGACACGGTCACCTCCACCAAACTCTCGTTCGACTGCGACGACAACGACCGGTGCTTTGGCTTTGGGTGGAACTTTGGCTCGGAGTCTGCCGCGATGGCCTGCGACCGCAGCTTTGCCCTGCCCGAGCGCATTTGCCAGCTCCGGCAATGCAAAACGGATCATGCGCCTCTTGCTGACTTGACCACGTCTTGGATTTACCCCGAAGCGTACTTTGCCCTTGTGTTTACCGTTGAATTTGCCTTGAGAGTGTACGCGACCAAACGCCGGGGGAGGTTTGTGCGGTCCGTGGGGTCGTGGCTGGATATTGGCGCTGTGATTCCGTTCTACGCCGAGGTACTTGCTTGTCGTTGTACGTTGCCACGTCATTCATATTGGGATTGAATCATCTAGATGGTCGCGAGTATGATTGACAACCGACCGGCGCTGTTTGCGATCGTGCCCACGTTTCCTACGGTAATATCGGTGCTGCCGATACTCAAAACGCTGCGGATTTTGAAAATGGGCAAGGTAACCCCCTTGAACCACTAACCTTATGTCATTCATGGGCTGTCATGTACCTGTTCGCAGCACTTCAAAGCGAACGCCGTGTTGGCCCGCACAGCCGCTTTGACGTACCAGCGTCTGTTAATTCCAGTATGACCATCCCCTTGCCATCACTACTGTTTACCACATCGTACATGTCCGTAGCTCATCTTTTTGTTTCTCGGGTGTGTGGCGGCGGGTGCGATATTTTACGAAGTCGAGCGGGGCACGCAATGTTTTGCCCATTTGCCATGTCTGTGGTGGCAACTGGACATCATGACCGACGACATTTCGGCGCTGTTTCCACCGCACAAGCGCGTGCAGGTTCAAATGGACAAGGTTACGATCGTCACCGACATGTGGCGGTCCACATGGCTGTCCATTGTCACGTAAGTCGACATGTGACACTGCACACCATCATATGGGCTGTGCATCCATTGGTATTGTAGGTTCACAACCGTCGGGTACGGCGACCTGAAACCCCGGACCCCCGTGGGCCGGTTATTTGACATTTTGGCCACGGTGTTTGGGTCGTGCTACACGGCGATGCCGCTGTCGTTGATCGGGGGGCAGTTCTACTATTGCTACGAACAGTACTTTAAGCAGCAGCAAGTACGTTCAGTGTTCAAGCCCGTAAACTTACACTACTGATATGATTCATGAATGGTAGCGGGGGGGCGTACCGGATGCGCCGCGCTTGGCGCTGGAAACAACTCCGTCTAGTCGCAACATGAGTGTCTTGTCGATCGAGGACATGGACATTTTGAAAAAGTGTGGCGTCGTCGTGCTCCTCTTGGACGAAATGATGCAAAACGTGATCAAACTCAACCAAGCCAGCTCCTGTGACGTGGCGGACGGAGGAGACCCCACTGACCTTCAGACTCCTCAGCATGCGACACCCACCATCGAGACCGTCAAGCGCACGAGCAGCCGGGGTCATGTACATAGACAGCCGCACTTGGAGACGTATGTGCATTGGACCAGCGACGTGTTCAATCAAAGGATCAGCAGCAGCAGTTTCCTTGGCCGAGGCTTGAACCGAGTTTGTCCTGTCAACCTAGGCGTCGACGATGATCACATGACTGACATTCGGCGACGCCGCGAGCTCATCCAAACCGCCGTCAGGCATTTGACAGTACGTCGAATGTGATATATTGTGTTCTTCATCGACTAAATGGAACACAGACGATCATGCTGCAGCTCTCGCGCGTGATTGAAAGAGTCATGGTCGTTCCAGACGAAGAGCTCGCTGCAAGCGAGTCAGACGCGACGGAGTAGGGCGAACAACCCGTAATTATCATTTAGCATTATTAATGCCAAAGTCATCAAGCTCATCATATCTTTGTGTTGGCGCCGGCGGCACGAAGGCCAAATTGGCCGAAAATGAACCCGAACACAACCATCGCAGGGTTTCACCCGCGGTGGAATGTTTGCTTCTGCGATTCCTTCCACGACCATGGGGAAGCGCGTTCACATTGGAATGAGGCAGCCGTAGTAGAACGTGAGCACCATCGAAATCTTGTGCCCCTTGACGTCTTTTCGACGAATTTGGTACCACCCAAGCAGCTGGGCGTCCACCTGCAAGCACCCCCCAGCCCCGCCACCATCGCCATTCGACCCAGCACAATGTGCACGATACGGTAATGTCGCCCATTGCGAGGGCGAGTGATAAACGTTGAAAATGATGATCCACGTGAAGAGGCTGGCTGTGACCAAGTGGATGGCAAAGATCGGTCCTACAAGACGACCCGACGGAGGCGCCAAGAACGCGAAGAGCACCCCCATGTCCTTTTACATGGTGAACCACAGCAAAAAGACTGTGCCAATGGCCCACCAGATGGTGAAATCACCGTCCAAAACGTGGCGTGGGCGGCCAAGCGGAGTGATTTCTTGAATGAACGCGCTTTGGCAGTCTCGCGGCGTGATGGCTTCAAGGTGGTGGCCTAAGGGTGCGGTTGCATTCGATGGTAACTCGGGTGAGTGCAAAGAGGACTTGTCACCTTGAGGGTCGTCCGAGCCATGTCTGGTGGGTTTTGTTGATGATTGCATCGCGGAAGGTGTCATTGCTTGAATCGATAAAATCGAAAATGAACAGTGTTGGATTGGCATTTCACGTGTGTGACTTGTTTGTGGTTGATTCGTCCGCTGACACAAACAACTCGACGGGAGGAACGACGCGCCAATTAACAGTTCACTTTTCATACGTAATCAAAGTGATGACAAGTCAACCCTCCTAGGAGTCACAAACAGATCGAAACAATTCGAACTCGAGATGTCCTGGGGGCTTCACACTGGCAAAATGAAACTCTAGGCACGTTGGACTTTAGCCTTCCCATCCCTTGATCAAGACAAGGCCAGCGTACAGTGTAACATTACGCAATAATTGCAACAAGCTGCATGGATTCGTTTAACAGTGCTTGACAACAATGCTCGGTTACGCCAAAGCGTGCGCACTTACCAACCGTAGTGAGTTCTCAACTACTCCAGAAGGGATGAACGTAGATCGGACGATGGCAACTTTGACCACTTAGTGTTGCGGTTGGCTTCTGCCACTGATTCGACAGTTTCTAACGTTATTGAATTGATTTGCGAATTGTAGGTGTGATTGGTCAGAATCTTCAGTGCATTCCAAAGATCGCCATGCGGCACTTGTTGGTCGCAGTGGACATGGCACTGTCGACGTCGGCACTGCAAACTCCTCGCATCAAGGTCAACTTTCTCTCTCCACTGAACCTAACGTTAAGGGAGTTATAGTGGTTAGTTCAGGTCGATTGCTTTATGTTATGTCGTTCTGTAACGCTCGATGACGCCTCTTCCGCGTAGCGCACTGTAGCCAACGGAAAGAGAAAGGTAAAATACGTGGACATGTTTGACAAATGTGGTCAAACCTGCATTCCTTATGTCCAACAGGACATCGGAAGTCATCTACTATACGTATAACGTTAGTACTAGTTTCACGACGATCGCATCAACGGGCTCCAAATATGACATACATGTTGATGAAAATTGAGTAACCACATGGACATGAACATACCAGGACTCCTCGTTGTGTAAAATATCCCCTACCAGCCCTGTCCGTCTTATAGCTTGACAGTTCCTACGAACTCAATGTGCTAGAATCAACCACCCCTCGCGCCCCAAAATCTCGAACCAGGCGCGAGTCGCACTGGGAACGACGGCAACTTCGTTTGGCGGCTAATCGGCACCGTGTTAGGCCTACCTTGTACAAGAGGGGCTGGGCTTGGACTGCTGCAGCTCCACAATAACATCCTGCTGGCCATATCATTGCCATCCACTTGGTGACGTCCATCTACAAGTCCGTGACGCTCTAGATATTTTATTACAGATGCCTCATTCCACTGTGGCTGTGCATTGTGGGGCTTGTTGCTGGTCGACAATACTTGCCCGATTCGGTTCAAACAGTTTGGATTGGCTGTGGGCTTGACCTTTGGCCAATTGGGTTATCAGGCAGCGTTGGTAAAGTGGTGTAGGTCGCGTCGTTTAACTCATATCTTAGATTAACATTAAGTAATTCTGACCCTTCCTCGTCACGCGCAAGATGCACTATCGCGTTGCAATACGTCAAGCACAAGTCCAGATGCATTCCTCCCACAATTTGGCGATACAAGAAAAATGTATAAAATACGTAGAAAGTGTGAAAAATACTCTCCGGGTGAAAAAATATTAATCCTGTAACGTCCCACTGTGTTTTGGACTACTACTAGAGCTTGGGTGAGTGCAGGCTCCTTTCCTGGGGTTTTGCATATCGCCACTAGCTAGCTATCGATACCCGTAACAATGCACATACCCCTGTGTGAGAGAGACTAAAGTACCGTATGATGAGTCCGACATAGATCAGGCATACTACAAATCCTTCAAATGGTAGGTACTTTTCCCCAATTACTTAAAAAGAACTGTGGTGACAGTTGTCTGGCCTCATATGGACCCAAGGGTACTGTGGTGGCTTTGTGCAATTACATTCATGTACTGTACTTACTGAGCCTCCATCATGCTGAAACGACCATGCCACATGCGTACATACCCACTATTTGCATTTTTAACTACCGTACCGAATGACTTCACGCTCGACTTGGGGCAGCGTGGCCGCCAGCGCTTTGTGTGGTCAAGCCATCATCGTGACCCTGGTGCTGCAATACATCGGAACCAACTACCTGCACACTACCGGCACCGTGTTGGCCACGTTCCAAACCTCTCTAGCCTTCCTGGTCTTGGCCATTACGTGCTTGCCATTCGTGTTGAGTCGTCCGCAGATTCATCGACCATGGTGGCTGTGGCTACTGCTGGGATTTGCCCACGTCGAAGGTCACTTTTGCGCTATCAAAGCTTTTGGGACCAACCCCAACTACTCCTTCATGGGTATTCTGCTGCATCTTGCGATTCCGTTCCAAATGTTGTTGGCGTATTTGATCCTGCGAACTCGCTACTCCGTCACCAACTACCTTGGTGTGTTCTTCATTGTCCTCGGAGCGATCATCGTGATGGTGTGCGACACCGTCGACGGAAGTCTGGCGAGCCATCTGTGGTCGATCGGCGCGGCAGGGTTTGCTGCGGCCGCCCTCGTCCTCCACAAGTACACGGCCGACCTAACATTGGAGGTGATTCCGCCCGTTGAAATCTTTGGCAAAGTGGGGGCCGTAGCTGTCGTGCTGTCCGCCGTCCAAATGGTCATCTTAGGTGAATTCTCGGCCATGACCACCACCACTGTGTGGAACACCGCCACCAGCACCTACTTTGCCGGGTACACCCTAGCTGTCCTTCTCTTCTACGCTGTCATGTGTGCATCCCACCACGCCATCGAAATCCTGTGGTTCCACCTCAGCTTGGTGCTCTTCAACGTGTACACCGCCTTATCCATCACGTGGCTATTTCAAGTGGCAGTCACCCCCGTGTTCTTGGGGGTGAGCGGCGTCGTGGTCGTTGGCGTGTGCCTCTACGGGTGGCAAGATCCGTTCGAAAGGGGATTCAGCCGCAAACTCTTGGATCGAATGGGGGGCCCTGAACCTACGATGGACGACGCCATGATGGACAGCCTCGTCGTGCCGATCGTGATGGCGCTGCCGTATTCTCCAGACCACAGCGACTACGGCGGCGAATCGACGTCCATGTACTACTTGGATTCGGCCCGCAACAGCTACCTATCGAACCCCCAGCCAGAGGACGAGCCCCATATGACCAGCAGCCCCATGGTCGAGGAAATACATGTCAACCATGATGTCGTGTACACGAAGGACTACTTCGAAGGCAAAGTCATCTTCACGATGGAAGACGTGAGTCCAGCATCCACCCCCCGGCACTCGCTAGTCGATATTGTCTCGTATACGTCCAACCACGGAACCATTTGATAGTATGTGCGTAGAATTACAAAAATGTTTGATTTATAAACTGTGGATAGTGTGTAGTTAGTTAGTTGCGCTGGTTCTGGAGCCACGCTGGCATGGAATCGCTTACCCATTTGGACGTGCCGCGCACTTCGTCCTATACGAACGTATCGTTTATGTCTTTGTGAAAAGACGAATTGTTACCTGGGTGTTGGCGCTCGGGCGAGTGGATTTTTGGCTCGTGATAGCACGAAAGGTCGCCACCAACTCCTCAACATGATGGGGGTGTGCACTTGTGGATCGATTTTCCAGTTGCTACATGCACAACACGTTGTAAAGTGATATGGTTAAGCACAGAATAAACACTATACAACAATGCGCCTACCTCCAGCAAAGTCCGCCTCGTCGTGTTCTTTTCGTACAAGTCGTCGATGTCAAAACTCCCATCATTACCCCCCTCATCGTCTAAACCACCCCCCAAATAACGTTCGTCGTTGGAGACATAGCGAAACGACTGCTGCCACGACGAAGGCGCCACGTCAAGGACTCGAAAACACGGGGGGCTAGGAAGAATGTGCGCGACTTCCGTTGGCTTTACAATGGAGGCGGTTGGAGAAAGGGGACTTGTAGTTGCCAGAACGACGGAAGAAGGGGCGCCTAGCTTGTGGCTGGATATTTCGGGCGAGAGTTCTTTGTGGGGACTGAGACATTTGGAAGCGAAGAGGGCTGTGAAACGTGGCGACAGGGCAGACATATCGTGGAGTTGGGGGTCTGGTTGATTGCTTATGATGGCCGACGATAGTGCAGGGGGGTTGTCGACGTGGCCGTTGAAGTAGATCATTTGGCTGTCGCACTTTAGCGTGGCGCTGTTGTTGTTGTTTGAGGAGACAACGAACGACGACGATGGGCCGTCTAGGGATCCCTCCAGCAGGTTCACGACGGCAAATGGAGCGTCATGATGTGGTGTCGATTTGGTGGAGCTGGTCAACTCGAATTCCACCGGATCGTCATGTGCTGCAGATTTGTACTTGGGTCGATTGGTCGGTGGCTGCTTTTGGGGGGATACACGGGTAGCGTAAACATCTAGGCGCGACGACTGTGCTTTGATTTTGGACTGCGATTTCTCACTCTCGACCATTCGGCTGGTATGTGCTTTGATTGTGCTGTCATCATGCTCGTGTGAGATTAGGCGGCTTGACCGGGTAGTTTTAGGTGGTGACTGGGACTTTTGGTGCTGCAACCGTCGGGGGGATCGCTGGTGCGTCAAGTTGTGCAAACCAGTACTATTTGCTATCTCCACCTTTTCATTGCCCCGTGGTCTTAAGGTAGCTACGTCAGCTTGAATTTTGTGCTGACCGTTTGCCCCTGGAAAAGGCTTGTACGGGGAATTCGATACAAACGTAGTGTTGGTGTCCTCGAGTTGGTTGCTCTCAGTGGATTCTTTGGTAGTCGGAATCTGCCGCAATGGCTGGGCTTGTTTGGGATGTACTTGATACTGCCCATTTGTTCCAGGCAAGGGCTTTGGGGGCGACTTCATCGGTTGATGTGCTGGTTTAAACGTGGCAGTTTGTAAGTTGTACTGGCCGCTCGCCCCAGGAAAGGGTTTGTGCGGTGAAGTCGACACAAAAGTACTAGGGGCTTCGTCGAGGGCACTCTCCGTAGAACCAATTGTTGCTGCAGGGACTGGTCGCAGGGGTTGCTGTGATTGTTTCGCATGCAAATTGTACTGTCCGTTAGATTGCGGTGAGTTCGCCATGCCCTTGCTGGCGTTGGAGTGCACGTTGTACTGCCCGTTTGCTCCGGGGAAGGGTTTGTGTGGCGAAGTTGAAACAAAAGTAGTAGGGGCTTCATCCGCTTGGTTACTCTCCAGCGATGTTCTCGTCGGAGGACAAGCTGTATACTGCCTTTTGGCCCCCGCGAAGGGGGGTTTCGGGGGAGACGACACGTGACTCGCATGGTGTGGTAGCCCGTCGGAAGTGTGTACTGAAAACCCCCCTCCATGAACTCGTTTGTTGGTGTGGTTGTTGAGATCATTGTTGTCGACCCCTGGAAGGTGGCGGGTGCTTTGCGTCTGCACTATGCCCCCCCCTCCAGCTCGAGATTTCCACACCGCCAGCTCCTGCTGATGCATCGCATCTCGCCGATCGAGTTCGGCCTGCATGTCCCGCCGCAGCCGCTCGAAGTCGTCCACGGTGAGCGCAGGGCCCCGGGGTGTCGGCGTTTGGTGCACCAGTTGCTCCACCATTGCACGTTGGCTGGCCAACTCGTTGGTCAGCATTTGTAGCCGGGCATCCATGAACTGGTTCATCGACGGCGACGACTGCATTTGCATGGGCGGCATCATCATGGATGACGGTATCTGCTGCATGGGTAGTGGATACATGGCGGAAGAGTACGCGTCCGAAGTTAACGCGCCCGAATTAGGAGGATATGACGGTGGCGCCCCACCAAAGAAACCCTGCTGCTCCCCCGGGTGGTTCTGGGGAAGGGCTTGCATTTGAAAGGTATGATTCTGTGGTTGAGTTTGCCACGGTGGGTTGTCCTGAGGCGTGAATTGAGACGAGGGGCCAAACCCTGGAAGATCTCGGGGGGTTCCAAATGGATGACCATCGGGAGAGAAACCGTGTGGTTGTGGTTGAGTGGGAACTGCAAGATCGTCTTGTGTCAGTTGCTTATGGCGGAGCTTTGGGTTTGTCTTCTTGAGCTCTTCCTCTTGTTTGAGCCTCAAATCTGCCTCGAGTTGCTGCTGTTTCAACACCGCGTCCTTGACCTTCGACCGTTTCTCGGCCTCAAATGCCTCCGCCTGCACTTTCAGCTCCTTTTCAATGCGCTGCATCTCTGCCCGCTCTTCTTCGTCCTTTTTGCGTTTCGCCTCGGCCTTTCGTCGCTGGTTGTCTTCCATTTGTTGTTTTAAAAACGACTGTGTCTCTAGTTGGGCAGTTCGACGGGTCGGGTCTGGGGCGACAATTGCGCTCACTTGGTGTCGCCTACCGTGCGATGACGACGGTGGCTGCTGGTGCTGCAGCTGCGACGGTGGCGGGGGACTTGGGTGGTTCGTGGCACCGTAGGGCGGTGGAGGCAGCGGAAGGAAGGGCTGCTGGTGGGGATGATTGTCATATCCTATTTGATGGTAACCCTGTTGCGGAAAGGGTTGGTGTAATGGGGCGTTCATCTCAGGGTGCGGCATTTGCTGGTATTGTTGTTCTGGGTACCCCCCCTGTTGAGGGGGTGGGTGGTACTGTTGTTGTTCTTGAGGTGGTGGCGCGTACTGGTGCTGTTGAGCATACGGTTGCGGCGCGTTGTACTGCGCTGGAGGGGGTCCTTTATTGTACGCAGCATACGGGGGCTCCGGACCGGGGACGTTCATCTGGTCTGGCGGGGGCTGGCCTGCTTTCTTGAGGTCTGCGGTCATCTTCTCCAAGTGATGGCCTCGAGCATATGTACTTTTTCCCACGGTGTGGTTTTGACCAAGCCCAGCAAAGAGTCCCCCTTGCACCGGTGGGCCATTGCCACCACTACCTCGCTGATGCGGTAGTGGTTGTTGGGTGGTCATTCGGTCTCGACGGTCGGCAAGCTTCTTTGCCTCCTGGAGCCGCACCTGCTCCGCCAGGGCGGCGTGGTATTCATTTTGTTGACGCCTCTGCTCGTCGCGTCCGCTATCAGTGCCTTGGTGTTCCCAGTGGCGCATCGTCAGGCAACATTGCAAATGGATGCGGGCAATCGAGCTATTATTAGAATGATAGATTTTAATACCATAGTGCAGCACCGTCTAGAAAGCTCATCATTGTTAATCATATGAGCAATGAAATACAACTACAACGAAGGAGGAACGGTATAATGCGTACAATGAGTATGGTTAAATGAAACATGCATGACAGGGTCTTGACATTTGACATGTGTGCACTCATTGATGTGAATCGTCGCGATCTTCCGGATAATATCCGAGCTACTCGTTGCAAAGAACAAATTCCATGATTCGACGATTTGAACAGTCGTATCAATGCCGCCGATGGGAGATCCAGTCGTTGCAAATGCTGCTGCTGCCGAAGGAGGTGCGGAAGGAGGTGCAGCGGTGGAGCGGCGTACGCCAAAGATCACCCTGGTATGTACTGTACCAACGTAGACCTGAATCGTGACTCCCCAGTAGATGCGGGTGGAAATGACGACGGCCATGAAGGACGATGCGATCAATCATTTGGGTGAATCGTTGGCCGCCAACGTGATTGAAAAGGACATTGCAACGGACATGAAGAAGTTCTTTGACCAGAAGTACGGCCCTACGTGGCACTGCATCGTTGGAAAGGCGTTTGGATGCTCAGTGGCGTACGACACGCAGTTTTTGCTCTTCTTTCGGTTGGACCAGCTGTACATGCTGCTCTTCAAGTCTACAGAGTAGACCCGCGACTGTAGTCGAGTGGAAATTAAGTGTGTAAAAATCAAGGAATTTGGAGTAACCAACGCAACGACTGTACAGTTTTAACAGTATCACTTTACTGTTATAAAATAGTAAAGTGATACTGGACTTGCACTATGCTTCCCATCCTCAAGTCAATTCACACCCAATCATACTATGCTAAACAGGAAATCTACTTTCAATACGTCAATATAAACAAAAATGCTTCCTTTTCGTAAATTTCGTTTCCGCTTATCCGATGGACTACAGTAGTACTCGGGAGTCAATATACTGCGAAGTGTACCGTATAGTGTATATGTATTGCGACAGGTGATATTTCACAACCGGCCGACACTCGTTTTCAAATTTGTGTTAATCCATTGCGCCATACAAATTTGAAGTATATTCAACATATTCACCAGTAAATATCAGTTATTACAGGAGTCTCAATAGATTAATCCGTCGCAATGCATATACACTAAACGGTACTTTTTCGCTTTCACTACACGGTATCGAGTATTCCTTTGAATGGCATACTTAAACGCTGTACTCCGTTGTAATTCATTGCCATAATGTCTGGGCATTCTTGATCTTCATTTATTACGAGAACGAGAGAATGAATTTAAGCCACCCCCAAGAGAATCGAAACGTTGAATCCTGATTGTCCAACTTCAAATCAAACCGGCTGGTTTGAATTACATCCATCTGATTGGCTATTTACAGAAAATTCAGACGAACTTTCATGTGGTAACACTGTTCTGCTTTTATCCGAATCCGGATAGCTTAACATACATTTGTCAGTCGGACTCATATATACTACTATTAATATGTAGTACTTAAGTACTACGTAGTAGTAAGCTGATAGTAAGCTGATAGTAGGAAAAACTATCAGAGGTTTACTTTCATGAAAGAGTACACCTGCTATATATTGAATTTAGAAATGTCTTTTTATTATGTCATGATATCCTTCATATTAATAACCTTTATAAATCGATAAACATACGGTATAGCAAGCCAGCTGTCCGACTCGTATTGCGCAAGACGGTACAGTAATACAGCACCGATACAGTATCGATGCAAGTCGCGAAGTCACCGTACAGTATTACGTCTCACCTCGAAACAATTGCGCTACCTTGGGTACTACCGGTTGCTTAACAATTCATAAGGTCATGGCACTCTTTTGTCTTGTCCAGAGCTCGATATCATGCAACATGAACGAGTCTATCCCAACTTCAAGTTGCTCTTGACATCACAAAAAGCAAATTTGAAAAAACAAATCGGAATTCACAGAACTGTATTTGAATTCATTCACATACATGTACCTTAGTTGTCGCACCGTAAAACCGGTTATTATGCAGATTACTACTTCAAAGTACTACTGTAGTTCAGTAACTGTAAGTTCCTCAAATATCCGACAGTTGCCTTTCTACAGTAGATGCGTCAAATACCCTTACAGTATCAGTTGGTATCGTTTGATACAACCAGTAGCCAGAAGCACTTCAGGCACTCGAACCTGATGGACGATGTGGGTTCAACTTCCGTGGGCAAGCAAACGCGCGACGTGTGCGATGTCGACGGCTGCAAGGGAATGACTGGTGTGGTCGTGCGGAGCTGCCAACGAGACGTGTGTCCGCACGTAGTCCACCTGGTGTGCGCGGTGGACATCCTGCACTGCACCGAGAACTCGTACTTCTGCAGTCCTTCCTGTCAGTCGATGCCGTCGACCAAGGTGGTCCCAGGGGTCGAATTCACGACCTTCGAAGCGCTGCAAAAGGCCATTCGCGAGGATGGAGCGCGCTTCGGCGTCAAGATCAACCAGCGGCAGACCCATCTCATGGACGACCGGGCGCTGGTCATCTTTGGGCACAAGTCGATCCAACGCGGTGTGTTTTACTGCTCCCAACTGCACTGCCCGTACACGCTGCGCTTCTCGTTCGACTTTGGGAAGATGAGGTACTCGATCCGACACACGTCGTTCCATGGCGCCCACAACCACGGCATCAAGAACACGATGCACGCGCGGGGCAAAGGCATCCCGTTTGACCACGAGTTCACGTCCATGGACGCCCTTCCCGACGGCATCGAGCGCTTCCAGTGCCGCCATTGCCGATCCGTGGTGTTGAAACGAGCGTCTAGATTGACCCACCTCAAGGACTGCCAGCCGTACCGCGCCCACCTCGGCCTCGATCAGAATGACGAGGGCGACGACAGGGAGGATGGAGCAGGAGGAGGTTCGATTAACCATGAACGACCTGGCAGCTCCGAGTTTCGGTACATACCATCGACGGATGGCCAAACCAGCAGCCGACTCGAATGCAAGCACTGCGGAGCCCACCTGAACCCAAAGACCAACCGCCTGCTCACCCATCTGCGGGACTGTGCGGCTTACCAAGGCGGCGACGTGCCATTGACCAACATGAATGCCGCTGCATCGTCGAATGTTCTTGACGACGCGCTGCCGCCGTCAGGTCCAGGCCGCTCGAGCGTGAGTCGCCTCGACTGCCGGTCACTCCATCCAGACACAGACATCCGCTCGGCTTTGGGGCATCCCGTCACTGCGCCTGTGCGTATTGTGGAGGTACCTATGGACGTATTCGTATTGAACCATCAAAAGTCATCATACTTGACTGCGTAGCCCCCTGAATTGGACCGCCGCTTCGACCACTGGGGACTCTTCGATCCGACTCGACCTGCCAAGCGCCTCCGCTCGGGCGTGCCCGCCACCCCCGCGCCGTCCGCGCACTTGGTCGGGCACTTTTCCCTGCAGCACTTGGACATGAACATCGGAGGCGTCCGCGTGCCAGTGGGGGCGATGCACAGCCTCACGACTGACTGGCTCCACACCGGCACCGCCCCAGCCGCCCTCTCTCACTTTTTGCACGTGTGCCACAGCCAAAACCACGCCATAGCCCTTGTACCTGCCGCCATCCTCCACGACACCGCCACTTCTGCCCGTACGATTGTTTACCATACCAGTTTCGATCAAACATATATTCAATGTAGGAGCCATGGGTTTCACGGCATTACCTCCGTGGTTCCAACACATATTTCCGAAATCGGCATTGCTGCTGTCTCAGGACGCCACGTACCCCCCTCACCTGCTGAGCGTCTTGGACGACGACGACGACGGGAACGATGTGATTGAGTGCCTCGCGCGGGTCGGTGCTTCCCGCCACGGTCGGCTCTTCCGCTCATGTGACACCGTCGCGTCACCTTCGTCACTATGTCACCGCCGCGTGGTGGGGTGCCGAGACCTCCGAGGCACGCTTCGCGGTTACTTTGTCTACAACTTGCATCCGTCGGTGGGTATACTCTTATTGTCCCGATGACCCCAAATTTGGACATTTGTGCCGATTCGCCAAATCTATCGATGGATTCTTTGTATTGACTTTTGTATGGAAAAAAATCGTCCAGTGTCACACTAATTGAAGTTCGAAAAGTGGATTTGATTGGCTACTTGATTCATGATCTGGGTTTTGATTGGTCGTATATCGATTTGGTTATCTTCTGCAGATTCAATTGAGCACCCATCTCCAATTTCGAATCGACTTGACAAAAACAGATTGTAAACGAATAAGCTCATAACGAAATTGGTTTCTAGACGCGAACGCTGACCGTGCATGACATTGTATACGAAGACATGCGCATCCTCTCTGGTCTCTTGGGCTTCCTCGCGACGCAAGACGGCGCCGACACAATCGCCCTGTCGACCCCGGACCCGCACTTCCCCCGCCTGCTGCGGCACCCCCCCACGTCCACATCCGTGAACCACCCGCCTCCGCTGCTCGCACGCATCGTCCACGTCGGTCACTTCCTTGCCACGCACATGAGTGCGCGCAATTTCAACTACGCCACCGGCATCGTTCTCCAGCTACTAGTGCAGGACACCCCGACCAGTGGCCCTCCTCATTCGTCCAATACATCGTTGGTCCTTCGCTTTGACGGCGGGCTCGTGCGCGTCCAAACGCCCACACCGGTGGACGCCTTCGACGCGCGGCTGCAACTCGACTTGGAGGCGCTGACGGCGCTCATGCTGGGCGCTGTCCCCCTGGCAAAGTTGCTTCAGTTGGGGCAGGCCACGTTAACCCCCTCGGATCCACGGACCTCACGGTTGGTAGCTCGCGCATTTGAAGTCGACGACGTCCCGGCGACGCGGATGCCGCACTGGATGGATTAAGCCGTGGAAAAAAATATTTCAAATCATTGAAATTTCCATAGGGAGAATAATTCATTGCAAGGCGCTGGCAACTTGCAATTTTTGATTATTGCCATGGATGCGAGATCCAAGCAAATATTTAATTGATCGATGTACCGCCAACAATATTTGATCGTACTGTACCTGTTGTCCAATTAAATTGCGATATAATTGCTCGCAATTGCGAAACTAACGTTATGAAAGGAATTGTCTCTCGAAATGGCTCAAATTAACTGTAAATACTTCGAAGTACAAGTATTTAATTGTTTAGCCTCTGTCAATTGGTAAAGATTATGTTTTCCCATAACCTCTGCGTGGGCTAAGCGGCTTAGCCCGCCAACAACTCTGAAAAGTAAGTAAGTGTACTAGTAGTGTTCACACAACGTTGTAATTAGTATGTAAATGCAGCCATCTTTGTCTAATCATGCTTCGACTTGTTTGAAGTGGTCGAACGCGTGCTTCTTGGCCGCGCCATCCACATACGCCAAGAGTTCGTCCGACATGAAGTACGTGCCGGACGCTTGGTTGACCTTGCAGTCTTCGCAAAAGCACAGCAGAATCGTGTCGATGGCAGTCTCGTACACGTCGAGGAAGAAGGACGCGATCGTAAACGACAAGAGGCCACACACGAGCAGCGGAAACACGGGGCTGCTCAAGTTGTCCAAGTTGTCGGTGAAAAATGACGGCAGGCCGGCGGGCGGATGGCTTAGGAATAGGAACAGCATCATGCAGCAGAAGCTCGTGATGAAGATCTTGCCGAGGAGGATGAGGAACATGGACACGATGCTCACGGTGGCGACGCGCGCGGCGTTGGCCAGGATTAGCCCGAACGATTCCTTCATGGCCGAGCAGAACGACGTGCCTTTCATCGCAACCATGATGTACGCGTTCCTATTCAAACACACAACATATATAATGAGACCAATGAGAACGAACGAACGATCGACATGACAACATGACGTACTTGTTGAGGAACTTCATGCACTTTTCAAAGCACCACAAACAGCACTTGAACGCGCACATAGCGACTTTGACCATGGTGTTTCCCTTTTGCGCCGTCTTGAGCTTCTGGTCCACGTACTCCAACACGAGCCGAATAAACTGAATGATGGCAATGATCAACGACCCGAACGCGATCGACCCCAAGTGGTAGCGCAACGTCCGGTAGAACGACCGCAAGATGGGCACCCGCCCCATCGTCTGCCATGGACACTCCACGTTAGTGCAAACCATCCAAAACACTGCAAACACTGAACGACGTACGGATTTGTTGAGGGTCCAGTAGTATTCGCACACGGCGCCAGCCATGGTCGTGTACCCCACAGCTTGCAAGAACTGCGCCGTCCATAGGAATCCTATCGTTCGTCATGTCAGCATATTCTCGCCGTATTCAGCATGCTTGCAAGAGGGAACTGTACCAAACACGTGATACGCTAGGAGGTAGTTGAGCACGTTGTCGTCTTGGAATGAATACTGTTGCTCGAGCAGCAGCTGGTTGGCGGTGGTGGTGGCGTTGGCGACATTCACAGTCGCCGCGACGTCCACGACCGACACCTTGCCGGCGGTGGCCAAGAAGGCGGCGGCGATGATCCAGTAGATGACGAATGCCGTGATGGACACCACTGGCACGAGCGGGAACAACACCAGGAACGGCATGCGGCCGATCGCTTTGGACGCTTCGCGGATGATGCCAACTGCGATTTGGATGCGGCTGCACATGAAGATGAGCACGAGCAGCACGAGCACGTCGACGCCGATGAAGATGTACGCCGCGTACTTCCAGTACTTGACTTGGGCGGCGGCAAAGTTCACGGCCGCCGATGCCGACGTCAGGTCCGTCGTCAGCTCCGTGATCGCGTCCGCCGACATCCCTGTCATGGCCAAGTTGGATGCAATCATGCTGTTGTCTACTCACTCCACCGTTAAGCAACATGACGAGATAATATATAAAGATAGAGGGACGTACTGAGAAGCTCGCCTTTGTAGGCCAGGAAAAACGTCGCGACGAGCAAGATGGCGACGACGAGCAGAATCGTGAGCCACACAAAGAACCCAGCGCAATACCGGAGGCAGAACAGCCACACAAACCCAAGGACGAGCGCGACGGCGACGCCGCAGATGAGAATCGGCCCCGCGGCCTTTTGGATGTCGCCAATCCACTGCGCCACCATGAACCATCCCGACGTGAGCGAGTCAAACACGGGCGAGTTGTTTGCGCTCGACGTCATGTACGTCTCCGATTTCTACAACCGTGTATCATCAAACTTCTACATGTCTCTCCATAGTCGTGATAGGATACCGTCTGGAGGTTCATGCAGGTTGGCAGGTTGGCAGTAGCGTACGCCGTGCACCCCTTGGCGCCACAAGGAAAGAACGTCGCGTTCGAGCCACACATGGTCGGGTCCGACCCCGCCGTGCAGTCGTCGACGCATCGCACATAGCTGACCTTGGTTTCCGACGGAATCTCCAAGCACCGAAACAGCACTAAATCACCGTCATAAACACGAATGAGCGTCGACGAAAACGAATATGCACGCTGAACCGAGATTCCTTTACCGTTGGACGTGTTGACGAACACGCGAAAGGGGGAGCCAGCCGTCGTGTCTTCGAGCGCCGCGCCGTACGAGGCATTGCGAGCCGACACGGCGTCGGCCCCCGCGGTGCCGTACGACACCAACGAGTGGACGTACTGCGGGGCACCGGTGTCCGTGCGGCTGGTGGGGCAGCTGGCCACGCACACGCCGTAGAGTTTCTTCAAGTTGTTGGGGTCCGTGGGGGTGAAGTTCGGGTCAAGTGCAATCGCGTTTAGGTCCTGCGCGAGACGCGGGAACGCCAGGTACTTGTACGCAGTCAAATCATACGGCGCGGCGGTCGCACCGGGGGTCGTGCCAGACGTACCACACACGCGCCCCTTGAAGTCCATACCATACGCCAAGCTACCCGAAGCATCATCGTGATGACGATGATTTTCGTTGGAGTAGACGACTACCGTTCGGGCTTGCCGCGCGTGAACGCGACGACGGAGATGGCGATCATGCCAGCCCAAAACACGACAAAGAGGAGCGTGCATAGAATGTCGGTGCATTTTCGATTGGACGTTTGGAAGGACGCGCCGCCGCCGGTGTTGTCGCCACCTGGCGAGGCCACGACTGTCTTGGAGTCGGTGCGCGATGCGGCTTGCTACAAGAAGACCCGCATGACCATTGCATGTAGGAATGTGGATATAGATACATCAACCACACGTACGCCTTCGACGATCGGTTTGCTGGTCTTGCTTCCCATCGTGAAATTGCACAATGACGAAACTTCCACATCACAATAATGTATTCATGTATTTTGCCCAGTAATAAAATAGCCCTGCCTATCTCCTACTACTATAAATAGGACAAAACGAGGGATTTTTATTAATAATAGCTCAGATCGAAAGCGAAACCGCCACTAGGTGTAACCGCCGCGTTTGACTATCGTGGGAGTATGTATCATCGAGAAGGCGGCTGTGGTGGTTGAGGTGGGAGGATCAAGTCGAGGTAGAACGTCACGACGGAGTCGGAAAATGCTTCCCTCGACACCACGTACTCCATGGCATTGACCACGTCTTGTCGACGGGCAGGACTACAGTACAGTCGCAATATCATGGGTGGATACACCTAGCACTGTACGTAGTACCTTGAAAGCGCGATCTTGGAGAGGACTTTGGCAGCTTGGCGCTGGCCTTCAATAGCTCCAATGTCCAGAAAGATGGATACAAACGCGGGGATGCAGCCGAGGTCGGCCACCACGAGCTGTCGGACGTCCTCGTCTTGCAGCAACACGTTGAGGACTTGGAGCACTGCCACCCGAGTGGGCACATCCGACACGTACATGGCGTCGACTAGTGCCGATACGTGGCACGTGCACATTTCGTGCAGAACCATGTCATGTGTGTGCGATGGATTCACCTTGGCCTTGCCGTCCAGTGCCGCCAGAAGCGCCGCCGCGCCGACGGATTGTGCTGAGCTCTGAAGGAGTCCTACTAGCCCTGCGACGTTGGTGTAGCCCAAGTGGCCTTGTCGTTCAAGGACATGACGTAGGACGGTTGCCGCCAGACTCGTAATGGGTTCAGAGTACGCAGCTGGCTGCCCAATGGCGACGAGAGAGTCGATAGCGTTCGGGTCGGGAACAAGGAGAATGTCAGGTTGAAACGAGATAACATTGACCATAGTCTGCAGAACGCGCGTGAGAAGCGTCTCGGCAAACGAAGTGTCGGTGGGTGTGGTAGCCGTGGTGGCGAGGTGCAGTAGCTCGGCAAACAGAGGACCGTCGGCGCCGTTGACTGCGGCGCGCCACGCGTCGCGGGATTCGGAGAGGAGGAGGAGTTGCTGCGTGGCTACGTCTTGGCTGTGTCGCTGCTTACCATGCATACAAAAGAGGAGCTCCTGGATCGCCATGGGAGGTGGAGACGTAGCCGAGGGTGATACTGGTTTGTGTCGTTGGCGAAAAGACAACGCGTGCAAGGTAGCAATAATTGGCTCGATGGCTGATTTGATGTGGGGATGATGTGTGTCTGAGATGTGCAGAAGGCGGGTGTTGATGTCTAGCGCAACCAAACTCAATTGAGCCTCGCGACTAGACCTGGCAAACGCATCAATCAGCTCCAGGACATAGGTCAGCAACGTAGGCTCGTTCAGCACTCGTTTGGAAGACAACAGCTGGAGGAAAAGGGTGGTCGAGTCCTCGATCTGTATCGCGTGCATCCAATGCTTGATGCAATGGAGAGCCAAGTGGAGAACTACGACGGATTAAGCAGCAGTCACCTTGTGTTTGCACTACTTCCTAACAACATACTTGGGGCATTGGATGAGCAGCACAACGACGACAAGTGCGAAACCAAGTCCAACGAGACCAATGTGGCCGTGTGAACCATGGCGTCGTTGTGTCGTTGAGCGAAGGCACATAATGCTTGAGCAAAGTACATCTGCGAGGGTCGAAAGATCGGTCAGGACTGAATGGAACTGTGGGTTGCTGGTTGTACCTGCCATTGCCCCCACGTGGCACACAGCCGAGAGATGTCGTCGGTTGAGTTGTCGGTTGGCGGACCTGGTGAATGCATGACCACATACACATGCGCGCCATTACCTACACAACACTGCATGCTTAGATACCGATGAATGTTCTCAACGAGATGGACACTCACGCAGGATTTGACCCACACACAACGACGACGGCAAGAAGCACCCTTCGTCATTCTTCATGGCGTCGATCGTTAATGGAGGTTTCATGCGGAAGAGAGACGCATAGGCGGCTTCAGAGCGCTGGATCACATCCAGGATAGTCTCTTGGGCCGTCGACGGGATCACAAAGTGATCTTCGTCCACATGTACATATAGCAGCAGGTCCATGATGACATCGATGGAAACCTCCGGAGGAATGTTTGTGATATACATTCTCACCATTAGAGGATATTTCCCAGTCGCAAGTGTCAAAATGGGATTATTTCCTAGGCTGAGCTTTCGGATAAATCTATTTATCCGGATACTTTGTGGACCCCAGCGTCATAATCTCTCGAACCTTCTTGGACGCAGGCAATCAACATGGGCGGAATCACCGAGGCCGAGAAAGTACTTTTGTTCAGTGTCCTCGAGTTCCTGGCGCCGCTGTCGGGAAAGGATGGCGTAGACGCGGCGAAGGTGCAAGCGGGTGTGAAAAGTCTCCAGTACGTGAATATGACATCGGTCTTGATGGGGGTCTCATCGTAACTCAGGGAAGCATTCAACGTGAATCCGTCGGATGCTGCGTTGAAGCAACGCCTGGGTCTGAAGAACCATTCCTTGCTTGATATCTTCACTGCGGGGTCCAAATCGTTGCAACTCGTGGTACGATCGCTCCTCGCGGCAACAAGATTGACCTTTACCCATGTACAAAATATGCTAGACATTGTCTGCACCTGCCGCAGAAGATCCCGTGATTGCTGCTAGTACGTGTTGATGCTTCTTTCCTCCTCCTTTCGATTGTTCGACTCGATGCTGATGCAAAGCACATTCCATAGACCCTGGATTGTGGCAAAAGTGGCTTGCGAAATTGGAGGCCAAGGGATTCTTCAACGGCGTCTCCCCCGGCACCTCGGGTCCGTTATCATCTTGCTTGTATGTTGCTCACATGGAACCTTGGCTTAGAATACGATGATTTGTACAAGAAAGCTCTGAGCAAGTTCAAGGAAAAGTTTGGCAGTGACAAGGCACCGCCGTCGCTCTCCAAGGAAGAGAAGGAGGCCAAGGCCGAAACGCTTAAAGCCAGCGGTATTACTACTACGTGCCATCCTCCTACTACTAGACGATCCGATAGCTAACATGTTACGATCCAGGCAACGCCGCGTTGAGCGCCAAAGATTACGTCAAGGCCGAACAATTGTACTCGGAAGCAATTGCGCTATCCCCCGCCGGCCCCAACTCACACATTTACCTGTCCAACTTGGCCGCGGCGCAAATGTACCTCGAAAAGTACGACGACGTGGTCGACAACTGCGAAAAGTCGATCGAACTCAACGTACAACAACGCTGCGGTCCATTCGTTTCTGGAGGATTCAATGCCACCATCTCTCTGTAGCCCAAGTACGTCAAGGCGTACTCGCGCCTCGGGGCCGCGTACCTGCAGCTGGAAGACATCGACCTCGCCATCGACGCGTTCAGTCGCGGCCTCGAAGTGGACCCGACCAACGACATGTGCAAGTCGGGGCTGCACGACGCGCGCAACCGCCAAAGTCATCTCCAGGTAGCGTTTTCACTCACGACTGTCCTCCATCGTCGTTTCCATTTTGAACGACATGTTTTGGTGCGATCTCAACACTTGCCTGCCTTAGACACGCAATGCACCTCCGCCGGCGGGTGGCGGTGGCATGCCAGACTTGAGTGCATTGGCGGGCATGATGGGCGGCGCGGGTGGCGGTGCCGGCGGTCTCGCGGGCCTCATGAGCAACCCTGCGATGCAGCAAATGGCCGCGCAGATGATGCAAAACCCCCAAATGATGGCCATGTACAATCATCATCATCACATGGACTACGATGGACATACAGCATGATCTGATGGATGGACTATGATCATAGGGCTCAAAACATGATGAAGGACCCGGCGGCATTGAGTCGCATGATGGGTTCCATGGGCGGCGGCGGCGGTGGCGCGCCCGACTTGAGCAGTCTGTTGACGCCCGAAGCGATCGAGTCATTTCGTCACAGCCCCCAGGTATTGTCTCTTGTCATCCATCGACGAGAGAATCCATGGCTTTAACCAAGTGGTCCAGGTGAATGCGATGCGCGGCGACCCCGTGATGGCCGAGTTCTTTGACGACATGGACCAGGGTGGCCCCCAAGCGGCGATGCGGTAAGAGGTCCCTTGATAGGTCTTTCATGCCTGATGGGATTTCGTTCTGCAGACACATGTCCAACCCAGCCGTGGCGGCCAAGTTGCAAGGGCTGTTGAGTAACAACATGATGTAGTAATACAAGTCTACTTTTACGCTTCGGTAAACTTTTGGGCGTTTTCCAAGAACGTCACATACTCCTTCTGCTCCTTGAGGTCGGAGAATTGCGTGATGAAGTTGGCCAGGTCGTCGTTGATGTGTCGGGCGTTGAGGTAGTCGGCGAACGCTTCCTGCACGTCTTCCTCGAGGTCGGCGAAGCGCGGACCTTCATAGTCCGAGTCGTTCAGGTCGTCCGCGGTCTCCGTGTGCATCACGCCTTCCACGGTCAACACGCTGCTCGCCACGCAGTCAAAGACCAACGCGTGGTTGTCCTTGACGATGCGGGCCGTGAACCGAATGCACGGCAACACGTCGTCCTCAAACTCGCCGGCGTCTTCCGCCTCGTCTTCTTCGCCTTCGTCGTATTCGCCGCCTTCCTCGGCTACGTCAGCCACGTCTTGGCAATTGAACTTGACGTCGATCGCTTCGTTCTTGTACTTGCTGAGCAGCACAATGTCCAAGTTACCCGGCGTGTCTTGGATCTTGAAGTTGGCCAGCACCTTTTCACGGAGCGCTTCCAGCTCTTCGCCGACAAAGCAGTTGGCCTTCTCTTCCGCGAGTTCGCGGCCTAAGAGAGATGGAAGCGCAGACGAGAACCGACGGGCGTGATGCACAGCCGGGGACGCTTTCAGCGTGAGCAACGACAATCGCGACAGCATGACGATGGACTGGTGATGGAATGACAATAAAAGGTGTGGTGTGCAGTGGACGAGAAAAATATGTTTTCAGGTCGAAAATAAATATTCACATACAAACAACGAGGTAACCGCAAAAAAACAAAATCACATGCCACCACTTCCTTCTAGAAAGGAGCAAACTGTCGCACGAACGTTGTTGCGGTACAGTGAGTGTATGTGCTATACAGTATTTAGTGTATGAATCTTTGGTGGATTAATAGTGTGAGTAGTTGACTCACACTATGTTGTATATACAATAGGTTTGATGCATCAGTATGCGGTGGTCCATACATAGGAGGTTGCGTCAATGGCTGAGTGATTTACCAGAAGCACGTGGTGCGAGTCTCTATTGCACCCCTCCAATTTCGAGTGGCATCATGAAGGCTGGCCGCGTTGCCAGAAAAAAAGAGATCGGTAGCGTAGTTGGGAAAATGGCGGCGAGGTTGCGAAATATTTCCATTTCCATCGCCGTAAAGGCGAAATATAGGGCCAAATAAACAATTTCACTCATGGGCCATGATTGTTTGGCCACCATACTGTACCTAGGGAAATTCTCATCATTTTTTTCATCAGGAAGCAAATAAAACGTACAAACTCTACTATTCGTGGAATTTCAGTCGCTTTCACTTCTGACTTGCATGCATCGCCAAATCTTGTACTACGTTGGTAGTCGGCTTCCCTCAACTAAAGCGTCAATGCTATGAAGTATTGTCGATTTGATACAAATTTGGGGAGAGGGTGCAATCGAATCGCGCCGACCAAACCGATCCACAATCGATCTGATTGGTTGAATTTCATTGAGAAATGGGTTCTGGTTGGCTAATAACTTTGAGCTCATCTGAGGTAGCCAATCAAATCGATTTAAATTCCAACGAGAAACCACACCACAACACTCGAAAGCACAATATATGAATTTCTTCTTTGAGGAGGACACTGGACACATTTGAAGTCACCCAATACAGTATTGCATGAAAGCCAAGCCGAGACAGTTGATTGGCTATTAACGACTTCGCCTTTTGAATAGAAAATGTTTTTAACCAATCAGAACGACCAATGAGTGACGTTGAGAATCCCTAGGGGCCCTAAATAGGTCAGAATTCTACCCCATATTAGGGAAAATAGGCCCTGGGATTCCCCGGACGGATCTCTGTTAACAACTCCCAGAACATGGCTCTTTTGCACCATGGAAGAGTGGGCATACAGTCCCCATTGCTATGCAGATTCGATGCTCCAGCATGAATACTAAGCGAATGAGGTCTCACTCATTACAGATGAGCATTGAAAGTTCGTGTTGGGGAATCGGAGCAGTTGTGGCACTGTCGATGTCACACGGTGTGGCCAACAACAGTCGTCCTTCTCAGTAAAGATCGTGCGTGTATGTTGTTAAGTGGTGAGCGAGATGCCGCCAGCGACCTGTACGCCATCAAGGCGGGACGTCTGTCGATCAACGAAGCGAGGTGAAGACTCGTCACGAAGTTTCGGCCATCAGAACGTTCTGGTGTTCGCGTGGTAATATAGTTATCCGCGAATTATCCGAATGTTCCATACATACTTCAAGTCGTTTTATTCCATCAACCGCATGTTGGTTGTGAAATGTCCGATCTTCGGATTCACTTTTGAACTTCGACCCAAATCCCGAGCGAGTTCCATCATGACCAGCACTGGCCTTCGAACCATCCGTCCTGAAGATGTCCGCGCGTTCGCGTATGACCCCGTGGAGCCCCTTGCCCTTGAGCAAGCACGTAGCATTGTCAACGACGTGAAAGCACGTGGGGAAACCGCAGTGCGAGAACATGCCGTGCGACTAGGCGACCTGCCATCGACGTCAGCGCCGTTGGTGTACTCCCGCGACGACATGAAAACAGCGTTTGAATCCTTGTCCATTGGCGAGCAAAAGTTGCTGGAGCGCACGAAGCAGCGTATCGAAGCGTTTGCCATCGCCCAGCGCGCGTCGATCCAGAGTTTTTCGCGCGCGATTCCGGGGGGTCAAGCGGGCCAAGACGTGTCGCCCATGCAAGTCGCAGGGTGCTACGCTCCTGGTGGCAGAGTAAGTATTGATCTCTGTACTGAATTGCCATCTCTCACTCTCTTCGACTAGTACCCCTTGCCTTCGTCCGTGCTTATGACGGCGTTGACTGCGCGAGTGGCGGGCGTATCGACTGTGATCGTCGCGTCTCCCCGTCCCGCCGTCGCGACGTTGGCTGCTGCGTACATTTCCAACGCGGACCTGCTCTTGGCCGTCGGTGGCGCGCAAGCCGTTGCCGCGCTCGCGTACGGTCTAGATGGCACCGGCATCTCCGCGTGCGACATCATTGTCGGTCCTGGCAACAAGTACTCCTCCATCTCTCAATCTGGTCTATTTCCAGCGGCTCACCGTATCGTTAGATGGGTCACGGCCGCCAAGTCCCTCGTCTACGGCAAGTGCGCGATTGACATGTTGGCCGGGCCGTCGGAATGCCTCGTCGTCGCCGACGCGTCCGCGGTGGTCCATGCTGCGACCATCGCGGCCGATCTCCTCGCGCAGGCTGAACACGACACCGCCGCCGTCCCAATCCTCGTCACCGACTCGACGGCACTTCTGGACGCCGTGAATGCCGCCATCATCGACCAGCTAACGACCCTCCCTACGGCGGACACAGCGGCTGTGAGCGTGGCCAAGGGGTTCGCGGTCCTCTGTCCGACGCTCGACAGCTGCGTGGACGTGGCCAATGTACTGGCGGCGGAACACGTCGAGATCATGACTGCCGACTCGCAGGCGGTGGCCGACCGCATCCAGCACTATGGGTATGCTAGCATCTTGGCATGAAATGAAAAGTTGAAGAGGTCTAAAGGATGGATACATAGGGGGCTGTTTATCGGTTCCAGAGCCGCCGAAGTGCTGGGGGACTACGGCGTCGGACCCAACCACGTCCTTCCCACAGGCGGCACGGCGCGGTACACGGGTGGTCTGTCTGTGCACACGTTTCTGCGCATTCGCACGTGGATGCGAATCGACGATGGCCCGTTGTCCCAGGAAGCCGTGGCGGATGCCGTGCAGTTGGCGAGGGTCGAAGGGCTGGAAGGGCATGCACGTGCAGCGGAGCGCCGATTGTTGTAGAAACGCAAGTGTAAAAAAATAATAGTGATTGCTTGTATGGACAGAATTAAGAGTCAGACAAGAGGAAGGATCTGGCGGAGGGTGGCCGTCTCGGTGGGAAACAAGTACGCAACGAGGTCGAGGACGTTGAGCCCGTAATCGCGCCATGCAAAGTAACACATGAGCATGAAGAAGCTGAAATACACGACACGATCGGCTCGAGCCATGTAGTTGACTCGCGGTGTCGGGGAGATGCCGTTTAACGTGTCGCGCTTGGCCTGCGCGACGAGATCACGGATTTTGGACTCTTCAAGACCTAGCAATTCCTGGAGTTTATCGACACGGAGGGCACTTGCGGCTTTTTCAACCTCAATTGCATCTTGGTGCCGCCGGTGCAATGTCTTTGACGAAGTTGGAGGAACTGGTATCTCATCCATGATGTCGCCGGCCTCGTCCTCAACGGATGCAGGAGCATCATCTTCCTGCTTGATGGAGTAGTCAAAGGGCTCCCCAGGGAAGTAGCTGAGTACGAGAATGACCAAGCCACCGAGACCGACACCAAGGGCGATGCTTGCCGCGGACGACAGGTCGATGTCGTTCTGCATTCTGTTTGCGGAATATTGCGACGGTTCAGGATATATCCGGATACAATAGACAGTTATCCGGGGGTTTCGTGATGATGATGATGACTGCCGAGATTGTTGTTGCAAGATGGCAAATGACTTGCCGGCATGGTTCGAACGCCTGTCCAAGTCGCAGCCGTTGGATGTGACGAGCTTGTTGCGGCTCATTGCGCTGTCGAAGGAACACTTGGCCAACCAGCCCACGCTGCTGGACCTTCCCGCCCCCATCACCATTTGCGGGGACATCCACGGGCAGTTCAGCGACCTACTGACGCTCATGACACTTGACATTGGCCAGCGCATTCTGTTCTTGGGGGACTTTGTCGATCGCGGGTCACATAGCGTGGAGACTATCAGTTTCCTCTTGGTGCGCATGGTAAGTTGATGCTTTCCATGCTTCGTGCACCTGATGACGATGGCAGATTCGGTTCCCCGAATCCACCTTCCTCATCCGTGGCAACCACGAGAGTCGCCAGACAACGACAGTGTATGGTTTTCAGACTGAGTGTGACAAGAAGTACAATGGCGATACCCGAGTGTACAAAGCCTTTATGGACGTGTTCGACTACTTGCCATTAGGTACGTCGTCCGTTCAACTCATCCTGACACACATGTACATACCAGGCGCCCTGGTCAACAACCAGCTCTTGGCCATCCACGGCGGCCTCAGTCCGGCGATCCATTACCTCGACCAGATCCGCATGATCAACCGCGTCATGGAGATTCCGTCGGACGGGGCGTTTGCCGACCTCGTCTGGTCGGACCCTGAACCCAAAACCAACGGGTTCCACCTGGTAAGTCGACCTCCTACCATCCGCATCGTCAAGTCCATCGTGTCTAGTCGCCGCGGGGGGCGGGGTACATGTTTGGCGGCGACATTGTCGAGAAGTTTCTGCATTTGAACGACCTGCAGCACATTTCCCGCGCCCATCAGCTGTGCATGGAAGGGTACCAAGTGCTCTTTCGGGACACGCTGTCGACGATATGGAGCGCGCCTAACTACTGCTATCGGTATGTCCAATGCAGCATACTGTCATGATGGTGTTACTTGGTAGATTTGGCAACTTGGCGTCGGTTATGAGTGTGGGCGACCACCTCGAGGTAAGGCCAACTCCCAACTGTACCAACTAACACTACAGTGTTGGTCTCTAGCGGGAATACAAGATCTTCCAGCAAGCGGGCGCCACCACGCAGAGCAAACTGGACGCGCCTGCGGCCACGGACGTGGTCGATGCCGGGTATTTCACTTAAATTGGGATATCATATTTGAGTTAGGAAGTCTTCTTCTTTTTGGGTTTCTTGAACGCGTTCAGCTTGGACTTGACCACTTTGGCCATCTCCGCCGCGTCGTGGTACACGAGTGAGTCGCGGTGGTTGTATCTACACGCAAATAATCAATTCTAGATATATACAAATTTGGACATATAAAGAAGAGAGAATATTGAAACGATTAATAAATATAATAAAATAACACACACACACTGAGAGAATATTTAAAATGAAACGATGAATAAATAATATTAATAAGAATTTTAAAATACATATGTATTTCGACTAAAACAACCATTTTAAACATGATAGGATGATCCACAAACACAAAAAGAGTTGGAAATAATATTATATTATTTCAAATGACACATATACAACTTTTATATTTTGACGTACAACTGGGCATTGTCAAACATGAGTTTGAAATCGCGCTCGAGCATGGCAAAGCTCGTGTACTCATCCGACTCGATGCGGTCTTCGATTGTTTGCAGATCCATCGCGTGCTGGACAATGTTGTAATAGTCCCTACGATAGTATATATATATATTTGTGGAATGATCATAGGTTGACGTCGTACGGGTAGTCGGTTGCTGATGGTTTGTCGACAAACAGGAGGTGTCGAAGGCGTCCTTTCGAGTCTTTCGCTTTCAGCACTGCGTCGTACACATACCGCAACCGTTCGTGTGTGACCTAAGGCGATTATTTGCCAAATAGTATATATTTCAGGAGTATATTATTTATGATATCATATTTTTCAAAATACAAGGGATGAAACATTCCTCATCAAACAACAGTATTATTGTCCAATTGGACAATTCAAAATCGGAATGCTCAATCAAATGACCAGAATCACCAAATCGACAGACAATCGATATACGACCAATCAAAACCCACAACACTAAAAAAGTACCCAATCAAATTCTAGCATTCAACCACTCAAACAATATCGATGGAATATATATTTTAAACGAATCAGCACAACACATGCAAGTAATTTTCGCTCAAACACCATACCTCGACGATAAAATCATTCTTGCTACCACCACCAGTAGTAGTACTAGTAGTACTAGTACTAGTAGTAGTACTATCCGACTTGTGCTTCTTGGACGGTTTCATCTTCATAAGGTTGTCGTCCGTGTCGGCGTCATCGAGGATTTTTGTAAACTGCGCCTCTGACATGTCTCTGTACGACACGTCTTTTCGCTTCCGCTTGAGCTCGGCCAACGTGTCGGGGTCGACGTGTTCCTTGAGGGATTCTGCCGCGTCGGCTTCCTTGAGCCACGCCGGCACGTCGCTCGTGTGCATGAGGCGATTGAAGTGCGCGCCGTACTGATGGCGTTCCCGTGTGGCGCGGTCGTGGTCGATCTGCTGGTACAATTTCTCCTCGGACGGCGTCAGCGCCATGATCGAGTTGAGCTCGTCGTTGTCGATCACGAGCGCTTCGTCTGCTTCGGTCGCTTCTTCGTTTTCCATCTTTATGAGCGATTCCAGCATGGCGCGGCGGTCCGACTCTTTCGACTTGGCGTGGAACTTGCCCGCTTCCACGACCAAGTTGTTCATGTTGAGCTTCTCCGTGGCTCGACTGAGGATCTTTTCTTCGATTGGCGAGTTTGTGATCAATCGAAACACGCGCACTTCGTTCTTTTGCCTAAAAGTAGCCAGGTGGATTGTCAAAGACTAATTTAAACGGAAGATGTACCCAATTCGATGCGCGCGATCTTGCGCCTGCGCGTCCATGGCGGGGTTCCAGTCGCTGTCGAAAATGACGACTGTGTCCGCCGTCGCCAAGTTGAGCCCGAGACCCCCCGCGCGGGTACTCAGGAGGAAAATAAAGTAGGGCGAGTCGGGCGCGTTGAACATGAACATGCGCTGCTCTCGCTCGTCCGCGGACGTCGACCCATCCAGCCGCAAGTAGCGAAATCTACCGAATTTGGAAATATATCCGTCAAGGGTCTCTCTTATAAACTCTATTTGTTCATTCGAATTCTGGAGCGGCATGACGAATGAATGCATCACGTAAGATTGATGGTCCATACAAACGAGATAGATCCGCCATTCAATTTGTACAAGTAAATAGCACCATCATGGAAAGCACAAATAATTAGTGTGATACAGCAGAATGGACACAGAATTAGTGTGATGTTCAGACACTCAACAGTTCAGAATACTGTGTACAATATCGAATCCCCGTGATTCCGGATTCAATACTACTACTGTACATATTGTGCTTTCGAGTGAAATTTCATTGTGTTGTGATGTGGTTTCTCGTTGGAATTTAAATCGATTTGATTGGCTACCTCAGATGAGCTCAAAGTTATTAGCCAATCAAAACCTTCTCAAAGAAATTCAACCAATCAGATCGATTGTGGATCGGTTTCGTCGGCGCGATTCGATTGCACCCCCTCCCCAAATTTGTATCAAATCGACAATATATTGTCAATAATTTTGAGCTCAACTGAAGTAGCCAATCAAATCGATTTAAATTCCAACGAGTAACCACAACACAATGAAATTTCACTCGAAAGCACAATGTATAACTGAAATACATTTGATCCACATACAAGCAGCACATGTCCACTATATTTAATCAAACAATCATGTCAATATATATTATGTACGTACCCTCGGTAGTTGAAATAGTCTTCCAGTACGTGCATGAGCTGCGTCATCTGCGAAAACATGAGCACGCGATGACCCGCCGCGTGCAGTTTGGGGAGCATGCGATCGAGCAGCTCAAACTTGCCGGCGGAGCGGACGATGTCGAAGTCGATGGGGTACCCCTGGGTCTGAAACAAGTACGGGTGATTGCACACTTTTCGCAGCTGCATGAGGATGTTGGACAGGCCCTTGGCTGTAAACGCAGTCGTCTTCTTGGCGTCGTCCTGAGTCCCTTCCATGAGCAGCGACCCCCCCTCTTGGATGCGCCGGTACATGATCTTTTGCCACCCCGACAGCTCGCACCGCAGCACGCGCTCGACTTTGTCTGGTAGCTGGTCCAGCACGGAGCTCTTGACGCGGCGGAGAAGGAACGGTCTTAGCACTTGATGCAGGCGGTGAATGATGAGCATGCGCTCCTCGTCCGTGAGCTCGTTGGACTCTCCCGTGCCCGTAAAGTGCGAGAATGGCTTGCTGAACCACTGCTCGAAGTTGTCGACGCTTTCGAATATCGTGGGCAGGAGAAAGTTGAGCAGTGACCATAGCTCCGGCAGCGAGTTCTGGAGCGGCGTGCCCGTGAGCAGCAGCCGGTTGCGCGACGTGTAGAGCGATCCGAGTGTCATGGCGAACTTGCTCTGCGCATTCTTCATGCGATGGCCTTCGTCCACGATGATGTACTGCCAGTCGTACTTGCGGAGCACGTGCTTGTCTTTCATAATGTACTCGTATGTCGTCAACAGCACGTTGAACTGCATGCTGGCCATTTCGAGCCGGAAAATATCTTTTCGCGCTTGCGGGTGGCCTAGAAGAAAAAATAGAAAATCGAATCGATTTTAATATGTAAATAGATATAATATATCGTAATATATGTTGTTTACACGGAATGAATGATGTAGAGACAGATAGATACCTTTATCAAAAACAATTGTTTTTTTTATTTTTTTTGTATAATATCGTAATAGTTTTACACGGAAAAGATAAACAATCGTTTTTTCATATATATATTTATACTATCGCAGGGAATGCAATACTATATTTTAAAGTATCGTGCTTCAATATATATATATATATATATAGAATCGTAATTTCTTTTTACAGAGGTATAGTAGGTAGGTAGGTACCTTTGTACACGACAAGCGTAATATCTGGAGCCCATTTTCGAAACTCATTGACCCAATTGGACAAGGTCGAGAGCGGCACGACGACCAGGAACGGTCCGAGGTTGTGCTTGACTTCCATCACGTACGTGATGAGCGAAATCGACTGAATCGTCTTGCCCAATCCTACCCAGCCAAACCAAAAGCAGCAGCACAGGTTAAACATATATCGAGATGTGGTTTTCGTCGAATGAGTAGCATACATATACTAAAGGCAGTCGTAGCATAACGATTTCATACCCCATCAGGTTGTAGAAAACGTCCAATTCACATGTGATTCACGTACGTTCTTGACAGTCGTACATGAAGTTTACATCAGACCAAAATAGATGATATTGTCGATTCAATATTGGAGTGGTATTTGGGTGCTCCATCGAATAAGAACCACATCGGCACAGAATCGATATATCGACCAATCAAAACACACAAAACATGAATCAACTAGCCAATCAAATCATCCACTCTTCGAATAATTCAACAGCGAATTAGTGTATGATTGAAATGAGTGTGATACTGGACGATCGCTACAAAGAATCGATATATCGATAGATTTGGCAAAGAATCCGCACAAAAGTAGGCCAAATATTGGGTAAAAGAAAGATATTATATATACTGAAAATCGACCATACAAGTCGCCAATATTGTCGTTCACGTCACTTCAAACCAGAAATAGACGATGAATCGTACCCATTTCGTCGGCGAGGATGCCGTTGAGCCGATTGTCATACAGCGACACCATCCACTGGAGTCCCCGCAGCTGGTACTCTTTCAAGTCGCCTCCCACGAGCATCTGGGGCTGTCTGGGCATTTCGCTGTTGACAGCAATGCCTAAATAGTCGAGTTCTTCGTCCACGTCTTCTTGGCCATCCGTCGGCACATCGGAGGACGACGACGACGCCGCAGGTACAAGCCCAAACTTTTCGCGGTGGCTCTTGACCAGGGCGCGGATGCTGTCCAAGTACGTGTTTGTTTGGGATAGCAAGTACGTGAGCCGTTCGTTTTTGGCTTCGGCGACCAGCTTCGAGTACGCGGCCATGTCGTTCGCTTTGAGCGCTTTGAGGCGGAGCTTCTCCTGGCGGTCCTCTTCCCGCTCGGCCTTGTTCGCTTTGGACTCGACCAACGACTTGACGTTGCGGGATACCTTGGCCAGCGACGACACTCGAGCCTTATGAAATGCGTGAAACTCGCGGGCGTGCGCCACCACCGCGCGCAAGTACACGAGTCGAGTGGCCCGACGCTGCTTTTCGTTCGAGAGCGACTTCATCCGGCGTTCGCGGTCGCTGGGGTCGTACACGGACAGCACGGGGCGCTTCCGTTTGAACCACTTGCGGTCGACACTGACGGGGTCGCCCAGTCGCGCCAGTTGCACGTGATGTGCCAACAGCATCTGGCCCCGTAAATGCGCTTGGAGCTGGCTCAACGAATCCAACCCATTGATGGGGGGTGCCAACAAGTCGATGGGTTGTTCGTCGATCAGAGTCGGAAAGACAAACTTGTCGAGGGATGGCGGGGCCACGTACACTAGTTGTGTGTCGCCACGGCGAAATGGCACGGGTTTGGGCTTCACTTCTTGCTTGACGGTTGGTATAGCGTTGACGGGAGTGTCCTTGAGCACCAGTAGTGGAGGATGGGATAAGGGGGATGGAGGGGGATTCGTGTCCGCGGGGGTCGGTTCGGGCTTGACGGGCGTGGCGAGCAACACCGATGGAGTGGACTGGGGATGTGGAGGAGGAGCCAGGTTGTTTGCTTTGAGCAGCTCCGTGTCTTTCGCCAGTAGTTCGTCCATGGTGCGACTGAGCAGCTTGAACTTTCGGATCTGTTGATGCAGATGCGTCAGTTGGGTTTCGGTAAACACACATCTCCTCGGCCCCGTTGACCCTCCTGCGGATGCTGGTATCGAAGACGAAGCTGCAGTCGTCGTCGCCGTCGCTCGTTTGGGATGGTATGCAGAGGGGGCGGTGCTACTGCTTGTCGACGTTGGTTGCTTCGAGGATGTCGCGGGTTTCGAGCCATGTTGTTTGCCACCGAGGTCCCCCGAGTTCGTCGATCCATCTCCAGTCGCTGGAGTTGAACCAGACACGGACGTTCCTGCATTTGAAGTACTGTTCGACGATGCAAGACCCTGTCGCGCGTCGGCGATTCGCTGCTGATGCGCACGAAGCACGGCCACAATTTGTTGGTACCTGGGATCACTCGTCCTTCCTTCGTCCCGCATCCGCACGGCAGCTGCCATTAGCTGGCGAAGTTCAGCGGCATTTGGCTCCATGGACACTTCCTTCTCTTCACGCTTGTGTGTCGAATGTCCCTTTGAATTTGCGCGGGGTCTCGACGTCGGAGATCAAAAATCTCAAAAAAGACCGCTGATTCGCGCGATATCTAATGCCGGTTTGGAGGTTTCCATACAAACACCAAGCTTAAATTAACGCTTGAAGTTTGTATCGACGTTCGTTTAAGGTGGTGGAGCACGCGACACGCCCATTGGCTGAAAATATAATTATTGAATTTGTAAATTAGTTTCGCTAGACTTTCAAAAAAAGCAAAAACGATGTCGCTCAACAGTTGTCGGAGTTATAGCTCAGATTTATACGGATAACCCTTAGATAGGACCATCCTGGACTTATTGCTCCCACCAGCAGATTTTATAGGGGTGAGATTTATAATTGAAAGATCCAAACATAAATCTGACCCCAAAAGTCCTATAATAGGACTTTTTCGCCTCTAATTATCCATCACTTTTATGCTCTCCGGATTAAAAGTAAGGGTATGTCTGGTAACATTTTAAAAATAATATTCAATTTTCTCGCAAAATGGGATTAACCAAAATGTCAATTTCAAAATGGAGGTAAATGGTCCATTTTGTAATGTGGCGTTTTGAACCTCTTCAACGAGTAAATCCCACGTGGAATTATTGGATTTGGGTTAAACCTCTGCAAGCAAGACATCGTTCAATTTTGATCAGATTTGTTGAATTCGGTCCCAAAATGGCGCTTTGGGCCTGAATATTGCAATAATTCGCAATATTTCCGGTTACCAGACGAACCCTAATATCAAAATTAATAACCAAAGCAATATTTAGCATAGAAAATTGAAGTTATATCACACAATATACATAATATTAACCATTTCCATGCGCAATGTCCACGCACGCGGCGGAGCAACGACCACGAGAGGCGACGGCAGCGTCAGTGAACTGTGCGCTTGTACGATAACCCCTGTCGATGCTTAATTGGAACTCTGAACGCCTCCGACTTTCACAGTCCTACGTCAAGTGGCTGATGAGTTCACCCTGCAAACACCGCCGCCACAGTCGTCAACATCGCATCGACAACCAAGTCGCCCCGATTCTGAGGGCTGTGATGGAGGCATCAGCAGGATGAACGAATTAGTGTTACCACGTAGATTTTTTGTCCGAGCTCACGTCACAGTTGGCTCATCGTACAAGAATGCGCATGCTATGATAATCGATAAGCTCAAAGGTGTGCCCACTTTTTAGTGACGAGTGAGATAATTTGCGGCGTCGAACTGCGGCATGCGCATCGACATGATAGATTTCTACTGTAACGTTCGATTGAATGTGATGTGATAGTCGTCATATGGGATTCATTCGTTGCAGCTACATGTACCGGTAGTCAGAGTGCGGCGGTCTGTGTGTGTGAATCGGAATAAATCTCATGGGTGGGGAAAGTGAGATTTATCCCTGGGACTGCAATAAATCTTACATTTATCCGAATAAATCTCATTCGATAAATCCCGTGGGTATTTATTCGCCAATAGTGTAGACGAGATTACGTTAGTAGGTACTAGTACGCCCTCCACGCCAATTGAAACGCTGTTCTCGAAGAGTTTACACAAAAAGCAATAACGTTACTGTAATATATTCGTTGGAAATTTCGGGAAGTCGTCTTGATGTTTGTATTGCTTCTCCCGTATCCGGATTTGGAGCTGGAAGATATAAACTTGAACTTTGTATCAAGTGTATCCGGCATCTGGAACTGCAAAGCGCGCTTTGAAGGAACTCTGCACAATTCAATTTCCAACAACACAATCAAAACATGCTTGCGAGTGGCGAAATCCTCCTCATCGACGAAGTGCTTCGCGACAACATGCTCCATCGCTCTGTTCGCGTGACTGGGCGGTAAGGATGCCACTGCCTCTGGAGTATGGATCTAACACGAGTCGTGTAGCTTGGACATGTACGACGCCGCCAAATCCATCGCGAGCTTGTCGTTTCAGAACGCAGTGATCGTCGTCGCGACAGATTTGCTCGTGAATTTCGACTTTGCCATTGGCTCGCTGTACCAATTCATTGGTGAAACATACGCAAACGAGGTACGGAACCGAGCTTAGCATGGACCATTGTTGCATGGAATTGACCGTCGAAACGTCACATAGGGCAAAATGCAATTGCGCGCCCGTGTCGGACGCAATGTCGACGGCTTGGATACCCAATTGTTCGTGGATGCGTTGAAACTTCGACGGGAATTCATCAAGACCACCATGGCTGCGTGAATAATATGATGGCCGTCCACGCAAGCTTGGGCCAAAGGCGCCTACCTAACGTTAGCTCGACTTTTCCACTAGTTTTGTCATGTATTAATTACCCACCATCATGCATCGCCATATTCTTGGTCGAGCGTTCTTCCTAGCGGTATACTTCGAAGTAGTACATACCTGGTATTAATACTCCGAAAGTGTCTGGAGACTGACAGGCAACCTCAACCTTTCTGCATCCGGATATTTATCCAGAAAACCCAGGCGATCCATGTACTGTAATCCATCAACAGTCACTGAAAGGGAGCGCCAGTTGGACACACATGCTGTCGTCGTACGAGCAAGGCCGTCGCGCCAACATTGCTCGCAACAAAGAGATGCTAGAGTCACTGGGCATCGACAAGTCCGAGAAGAAGGTGCCAGTGAGGCGGTCACGCAAGAAATCATTGCAGCCACAGCGGCGGTCGTCCCGTGTCGGGGCCGTGTCGGACGTGCGGGCGAAAATCTTGCAGGCCATGGAAAGCCTCGAAGAGAAGTATGAGCGCGAGCAGAGGCAGCTCTTGCGACGTATCCGCGAAGACTCGAAGAACGAACGACGAGAACTCAACCAGATGCGTCGTGCAGAGTTGGAGCAGCGACGGATGGCCAAGCTGATCAAGGCCGAGCAGAAACGCCTTGCAAAAGAAGAGCGAGCCGCGGCCATTGTCGAATTGAGGAGTCTTCGGGAGGAACAGATGCGGCTGGCTAAGTTAGACGAAGAACGGCGGCGGAACGTCGTGAAGTTCAAACTTCCCGTGGACCTCAGGCGCCTCGTAGCAACCTCTCGCCAGTGGTCAACTGTTGCCAATGGTGAGGAAAGGTCACTCAACCATGCCACGAACTCCATCCAAGAGGAGCAGGAACTGGACGAACACGTCAAGTCCAACTCTAGCAACAGCAATAACAATGCCTTGAGCAGCGACGACGACGACAATCTATCTAGTGACTCGAGCATCGACGAAGTGAGCGACGAAGAGTTCAACGAATTGAGTGGCGAAGACGACGAAAGCGGAGGCGGTGACAGTGACGTCAGTTACAGGGCATCAAGGCGGCCACAGGCCAAGTCGACGTCTTTCTCCAAAGATGATACACGAGCTGGTCCCGATCGTTCCCAACCATGGCTAGCAGTGTCATCCAAACCCAAATCCACGTCTCGGCTTCTTGTCAAGCTCAACCATTCCCAACCTCGCCCCCGCATGATTTACCAACGCCGCGCCGCACCTTCCTCTCCAGCGACCGACTCGCCGCCATCGTCCTCGTCCTCAGGGCCATTGGTGGTCCGATTCAATAGGTCGCCAGCAGCATCCGTGCCTCGCAAGTTGATCCGCCCCACCACGTCGTTGCCCCCCGACGAACCGCATGCAAAGCGAAATCGGTTTTTAATACCGCCCAAGGCACTTCCGCGGGACGATCATCCTTGTTACCAAGTACACTTGGGAAAAGGCGTGCATGGGCTGTGCATTGATTTGGACGTTGTGGACGGCAAATCAGTTACAGTAACTGGCTTTCGCCAGCCTTTACCAGGCGTCCAGGGACCGGCGGAAGCATGCGGCCAGATCGAAATTGGCGACGAGCTGATCGCCGTCGATGGCGACTTGATCGGGGGCCCCGCGGGGTTCAAGCGGTTTGTACCCGTGCTGAAAAGCGGCCTTAGCGTCACACTGCGCTTCCGCAAACCTACCCGTTGAGATCGTAGTATATAGTACTAGTATACGTGAGTGTGTTGAATTACTGTGACTATTTTAGTTGGAGGAATTGCTCGACAACGTGTAAAGTATATATGTATGTCCTTGTTGCTGAAATTTGGGCCCGGAACAGCTGATTCGTCAATTGATTTGAGTCAACATTTAAGCTTATTCAATATAATGTATGGAATAAAAATTTAAAGATGATCATTTTGATTGGGCCAACCAAACATGCTGATTGACGATTGGTTGAAATTTCGCCTTAGTGAATACAGTAGTTAAAGTATGGCTACGACATTACAAAATACGACAATATGACACATTTATATAAAAGTCCAACTCTGAAATGTCACTATTATTATTACCGGTACTTCTCAATTGATCAATAATTTTAGAGCTCTTTCGAAAACCTGTTGAGCTAGAGTGTGAGAATATCACTACTAGTACGGTAGCTCTTCCAAAAGCAAGGCTTACACAGATGTCACAGTATACCGTTTCCATCACGAATTGTACATGTTTGTAAGTGGCTTCCGTTACTTGTCAAGCCATAAAACGTTGAAAGTAGTTGCATATATGGAGAACAGGTTGCCTTTGAGCAGCTAAAGCAAATCGTCTTCGTCGTCGTGGTCTCCTACTGCTTTGTCGACCTTGTTTTCGTCGTCGAAGTCGTCAAATAGGGACGTCTGACTCACCCGAGGTGGCCCGGGGCCAACTTCGGAAGGCTGAAGAGGCGCTTGATCCGATAGGGACCGTGTTGGAGTTGACATGGGGGTAGAAAGGGAAGGCACGGATGCTTTTAGGGGCAATGCAGTTGCCTGGGTCGTGGACTCCGGATCGTATATATGTAAATGTCTTCGCCATACTTGGATTCGACCATCCCATGCGCGCTTGCTAGCGACAGCGTACTTGTCTGGCGTGGACGGGTGCTTCCCAAATTGACGACGACCTCTACACACATGTTGTGAGAAAAAAGACGTCGGACAAACGAAGAATCACGCACTTGGGCACAGCTTGGAGGTACCGATCGTAGCCTATGGTGTTCTTGCCAAAATCGATTTGCTTTTGACGTTGGGCAAGTTTACGTTGGTCGGTCTCCTTTTGCATCATTTGGCTTTGGCTACCTGCAACTTCTGCGGTAGCTGGTGGCAGACTGCCGTGATCAGTCCCATCTCGTTGCTGCTTCTCTGGTGTCGAATTGGAATAGCGGCGGCGCTTGGTTTGGTCGTTATTGACACGTCCTTGGCCCCTGTCATGGCCTAGGGTGGTTGCATTGTCGTCGCCACTTGCCGAACGCTTCATCGTTTAAAACCAAAATTGGAGGGAAACTATTATCCGGAAATGATTCGATTGCAGAGTTTTATCCGGTATTCCGTTGGATCATCTGTTCTTTTGGCGGGACGTCCATTCGTGGAGGTGATAATGGTGGCGATCTCCTCGTATGAAGTGGAGCGTGCGGCCAAGATTGCGCGCAACAAAGCCATGCTGGCATCACTGGGCATCGAAAAGCCACAGCCGGCTAACGGTTCTACTTCGGACTCTGACCGACGAAAGGAGTGGACGGAGCCAGGTTCTACTTCGCCACGCATGGCCAGGAAAACAGCCGAGCGCCGTCGTTCGACTGCCAAAGTGGCATCGAATAGTCCGCTGAGACGATCGTCTCGAGTCGAGAAGATCATTCAATTGATCTCTCAAGACAAATCAACACAAGTACGGAACTACCAAGACCAACAAGAGTTTCTACGGATGCGGCAAATGCTGTCGTCGGGACCGAATGCGCGGACGGACACGACATTTTCCAACGACGTGCGTGCAGCTTTCATCAACCAGGTCTAATCGTTTTCGTAGGCCAAGAACAAATGCATCATGAACGAATCCGGCGTTGACGCTCCCAAGCGGCACGTGCACGAGTACGACATCACACTGGAGCGAAGCCCCCATGGGTATTGCATCTATTTGGGTATTGTCAAGTACAGTGTGTGTGTGGTGACCTTCCGAAGACCCGCTCCACACTTCATTGGGCCGGCCGAAGCATCTGGGCGTATTAAACCTGGTGACAAACTCGTGAGCATCAACGGGGTGACCTTGTACGGCGGTGACGATTTCAAAAAGCACTGGGCAAACTTTAGCACTGCCTCTGCCATCACGTTGGGATTTCGTCGATTGCTGGCGGAAGTTTAACGAGTAAAGTGCTACTTATTATACACTGTTAGTTGTTAGTAATACGTCCGAACTTTTCAATGACTTGTTTGTGGAATTCGTAAGGTGGCAGGCCTTACTTCTAATTATTAACCAATCAGAGTGCATCATGGTTTCTTTGCCATATTATTGGTCAAGACGATTATTTTTATCGACTTCAAAAATGCAGAAGTACCGTTCTCAGCGACTCAAACAACTCATGCCACCATCAGCTTAATGCTCATGTCAGCAGTTAATCGCACTCTCGAGTACACTCACTCGCATGTTTCCTTAGTGCTTATTGAAGTCACGCATGGTCGATGCGAATTTCTCGTTAGGAAGGTCCAGCAGCATCACTACTACTTCATGGTTTCGGTGCACTGGGGCCAACACCCAAGGTCCTTCCAAGTCAAAATGAGGAAGTGATGGGTAAAACTACCGTCAGTAAGAATCATATCATCGGGGCATAGTCACCAAAAATTTGACCAAATCAAGTCGTTTGCCCGCGACGTTTCGGGGTTTCAGGATCAACGAGTAAATTGCTGTAAACGACCTATTTACAGTACCAGTAGTTGACGAGCTTGGCCCATGTGATTACTTGGTTTATGC